CTGCGCTGGACGGCTAGATACGGTGGCCGCACTCCGAACGGCGCGTTCGTCGTCGCCCTGTCTCTCTCGCTCCCGAACGGAACGCCCCACGGGTGCGAGAGAGACGGAACGCACTGTCCGGACCGGGCGTGCTGCGGCGGGCGTCACATCACACTCGGCACTCACACTATTTGCAGAGCTTGCCCAGCGCCCTGATTCCGAGCGTCATTATGTCGCTCTGCCTCGCTCGCACACAGACGCGACGCCCCGTGGGTGCGAGAGAGACAGCGGAATGAGTCTGCAGCGCGAAAAGCTGCTTAATTCCCAGAGGCACCGCTTCCCGCCGCGTCCCACGCATCACGAGCCACCTGATGGACCGTGCGTAGCGCGCGTAGCGTCCCCGCCAGCCGGCCTGCACACTGATTCCCAGAGTCGTTTTCGTCGCTCCGTCTCAGTTGTTCTCGTGGTGCGAGAGAGACAGAGCGACGAAAGGGACGCTCGGAATGAGTCTGCTGGCTGCGGGCACGTCTCACTTACCCGGAGCGAAGGGCGAGTGGAGGGGCAGCGAGGCGGAGGCAGGGCAGCAGGGCAGCAGCCTCGGAGGCGACGCAAGGCGACGCCGCGACGGGGACAAATCCCAAGGCGAGGAGGCGGGGCTGCCGGGCCTGGCCGGGCCTCACACGACAACACACTGCACTATGACCGCGGCCGGGCGGCGGCCGAGCGGCGGCCGGGCGCCGAGGACTTGTTGGATCTCGGAGGGGCAGGCGGCTGGCGGGGCCCTTGGCGGGGCCCTTGGCCGGGCCGCTGCGAGGGGCCAACGAACGCGCGGACGCGAGCCCCGTCGGCCGAGGAAGCTGAAGCGCGCTGAAGCCCCAGGCGGCACGGCGAGGCGGGGGCGGTGCGCCTGGCGGCCTGCACGGCCTGCACGGCCTGCACGGCCTGCACGGCGAGGCGGCGCGCGGGCCGCAGCGTCGCGTCTCGCAGGCTGCGCTCGCTGCGCGTTGCTTCGCGGCGACGAGCTCAAGGCGCAGCGCTCTGGAGCTCTGACCCGCTGGACCGGCTTCGGCGGATTGTGCGCGGCGACTGCACGGGGTGGAGAGAGCGGCAGCAGAGCGGCGAGGGAGAGGTGGGCCGGGGGCCGGGGCGCTGCGCCGGGGCGGTGGGGCGGCGGGGCGGCGGCTGCGAGGGCGGGGGCCCGGACCGCGGGGCGCGCGGGGGGCACGGCGAGGCTCAACACACCCGCCCCACCCCACGGCCCCCTCTCTGCCCCGCGATGGATGGAGGACGCACGGAGAGGGGAAGGACACCGCGATGAACGCGGAGGCAGTAGAGGCGGCGGAGGGTGGGGCCGGGGCGGGGCGGGGCGGGGCGGGGTAGGCCGGGGGCCACGTGCGCGGCGTCGCGCGCCCTCCCCGTCACAGCGCCCCGGCGGCGGCCCCGCCGAAAGGTGGCGGCCGCGGCCTGCTCCACACGCAGCCGCGGCCGGGGTGCGGGCGGCGGCGGGCGGCGGGGGCGGCGGGGGCGGCGGGGGCGGCGGGGGCGGCCCGAGGAGGCTGGGTGGTGCTGGGGGCGGAGGGTGGCAGTGGCGGCGGTCGGTGGGCGTAGAGGGCTCCAGCGCGAAGGGGGACCGGTGACCTCGTGTTGGAGCAGGGCGCCGCAGGGCGCCGCACCACGCCGCGCCACGCCGCGCCACGCACCACGCCCCGCCACCAGTACAGTTCGGTACACCTCCATCGGGGCCACGCCACAGCGTGTCCAGTGTGTCCCACGCCACTACTGACCGTCGTCCCCTGACACGGAGTCCGACCGCGCAATGATGTGGCATCGACGGCACGGCACGGCCACTGGCATGGACACGGGCACGCCCCCACCACCGAATGCATTACAGCCCTATCAGTTCGGTCATTTCTCATTCCGGCCGGCAGCCAGCCTCCGCCCCATCGTCTACTACTCCCTGCTACTCCCTGCTAGCCCTGCTACTTCCCCTGGACCGGCGGCGACTCCTGCCCCCCTCCCCGCCACACCGCTTCACTCCGCCCCGCCCCGCCCCACCGCGCCCCGCCCCACCGCGCGACGGGCCGGCGCCGCGACGTCGCCGCTGCGGTGGCGCCCCTCGCGCCCCTCGCCCGTGGCTCATTACTGCCATCCTAATTCAATTAGAGAAAAATCTCCGGTGGCCCTGCGCTGCGCTGGCTGTGCTGGCTGCGCTGGGGGCTGCGGTGACACTGTCTCTCTCACGCTCGTGTGATGTCCCGTAGTGGTGCGAGAGAGACAGCGCGACACCACCGTTCGCAGTATCCGCCTAACTCAAGCGTGGTTCCGAGCAGCGTCATTGTCGCTGTCTCTCTCGCACCGCTGCGAATCGCCCCGTGAGAGACAGAGTTCGGAATCAAGGAATCAGCCTACCGGCACGCCCGCGGGCACGCCTCGGCGCGGGTCATTACCCTGCAAGCAAAGCAGGCGGGCCGGCAGGCCACGGAACTTGACGGCCACGGTTCGGTACGCCTCGGTACGCCTCGGCACGCCTCGGTACGCCCCGGTGCGCCTCGGCGGTGAGGACTCGGCCGCGAAAACTTGGACAAAGCGCGGGCGAGACGGGCCAGGGCGGGGCGGGGGGCGGGGGCGGGCAGCTTTCGGCTGCTTTCGGCCCTTTTGAGCCACAACAATGCCCCAATCCATGGCGGCCGCCGCGGTGCCCTGCGGCCGGTGGTGCGCGGTGCTCTGCTATGAGGGAGGGAGGCGAGGAGGGGAGGGGGAAGGGGGCTTTCACGGCAACGCGTTGGGCCGCGTCCGGTGCCCTTTCTTTGGCCCGCTAATTTATTGGCTGGTGTGTCTGCGTGTGTGTGCGTGCGTGTGCTTCCAGCGAATGAGATGCAGCGATTAATCGCCGCCAACCGGGCAAGCAATGCCTGCAGACCGATTCAGAGAGTCGTTTTCGTCGCCCTGTCTCTCTCGCACCTACGCGGGACGCCCCATGAGTGCGAGATAGGTAGAGTGACGAAAACGACTCTCGGAATCAGTCTGCTGGCAAGCATTGCCTGCCGATTTGGCCGGTGCCTCTGCCGCGCTGCCGACTCATTCGGAGCAGTGCTCTGTCTCTCTCTGTCTCTCCAGCCCCGCGGGATACCCCGTGAGCGCCAGCGCCGGACAGAGACGGAGCGACGAGAGTTCTGTTCTGTTCGGAATCAGCCCGCGGGATGAGGGCCCGCTGCTCAATCAAGTCACGCCATCACGCGCAGCGCAGGTCGCCTCGCCAGCAAACTGATTCCGGGAGTCGTTTTCGCCGCTGTCTCTCTCGCACTCACTGCGCGTCTCCCTTCGGTGTGAAACGACGGAAACGACTCTCGGAGTCAGTCTGAAGGTCCACCTGTTTCGCCCGTGACCCAGCGGGATCCTTCCTTCCGAACATCGCTTTCGTCGCTCCTTCTCTCTCGCACCCACACGGCGCGCCCCGCGGCTGCGAGAGAGACAGCGACGCAAGCGCTACGCAAGCGCTACGCAAGCGCTACGCAAGCGCTAGGCCATCGCTCGAGGCCTTGCTTGCCGAGGAAAACTCGGCGGCCCATTCACAGGGATGACGTCACCACACGCATCCCGACAAATGCGACACCTGCCCTGTCCACGCTCCTCGTTTGGTTTGAATGATTTTGTCACATTTTTTCAACAAGAGCCTCGCGTGGCACGAACGCGAATGCCTTGCTCTGGACGACAACTCGTGTGCATGAGTGGTGACTCTGTCTGTCCAGTGGCATGAAAGGCAGGCAACAAAGCCACATTTACACTGTAAGTAGGCAAAAAGTGCCACTTTGCCTGCCTCCCCCCAAAACGCGTCTGGATCCGCCACTGGGCTCGACCGCCTCCCCTTAAAATTTCACAAGTGGCCATACTCCGAAAACCGTGTAAACTATTCAGGCCTTGCGAAGTCAAACTTGACTAGTAGCTTCATATAGCAAAGTATTTTGAACATCTTGGGTCTACACGACACAATGAGATCAAAATGAGAAAGAGCGTCTCTGCTTGAGACCATTGATGCCACATACATTGTTTTCAATTAAGGTGAAAACGACCTGAATTTGTCCAGTTTCAGCTTTTGCCCTGTTGCGGTGACTTTGATTTGCCATGGATTGGCCTGTTCACTGTTGTGCACATGAATGAAATCCTCGATAAATTTCTAAAATGTGAACATTTACAACGTTCTTTGTGCATAACTTCTGATCCTCAGAACTGAATCAACTCTGCATGAAAAATAAAAGTCCTGGCAAATAAAAAGATGCAAGAAGTGTCTAGCATCAAAAGAGGCAGTTCTTACATTCTATTAACAATACAGTTTGAAGTTTGACAGCTGGATAATATTGCAGCTAAAGTCAATGTGACTACAAATTTATTTTATTTTTAGATGAATGGATGATGGATAGTTTGAGACAACTTAATTTCTGGTTGCCAGAGTTGACTCACAAAAGGCCTCCAATAAGCTCCAGTAAAATGCTTTTCTCTTGAGAAAACGTACCTCAAATAGTCAACCCCAGCTCACCAATAAAAGCCTCTCACCTAGGTCCCATATTAGCAACGGAATTGTGTTCTAGAGCGGGGCCAACTGCTCCAAATTTCACAGACTTTTCTCCTTTCAAAACAGTACGATAAGAACTCCTACTAATTTTATTCCTGACCACTATCCAAAGATCTCCATGTGAACTTCTACAGCTCAGAGGGAAGGCATGAAAGGGAGTTCCTACATGCACAGAAAGAGTATCTCATTGACAGAATTTGACTGACTTGATGCAAACCCATCCTTGCTGCTTACCTTCAAGGTACAATCTTTGAAATAGCATGTGGTAACTGTAATGACACTTTCCTTAATTTAAAAATTACAATGCGATGGACTAAGAATTCATTCAATTTGCACAGAGAACTTCTTCTTTCCCGAACATCTTTTCCAAGGGTTCTAATACAATACTTTTTCATCTCTTCATCACCTTGTAGGGTCAGGAAAAAGAAAAAAACTTTGCTGATAAGGTACATTGTTGCAAATTGTTTGTTTTTATTAAAAATAGATGGTAGTTGAAAGTTTAAGTGACAACATTTAACAGAATTTTTTTTTGACAAGTTAACATAATTAACAAAGAGAAACAAACAAATCTCCTGAATAAAAGAAGTGTTATCTTGAATTTCCAGTGCATAATTAGAATGTTAATTATTAATTGATAATGATGGCCACATTAAACAGGTTAAACAAGATCAGAAATAAATAGAATTTATATAATTGTTGAATGACATTTAAAAATTTACTATTCATCTTCAGCTTCCAAATTGATGTGGTTTCCAAACTTGGCATACAATTTGGTTCGGAGGTCCGACATAACTTCTTTTATATCACCAGATTTCTTTTCAATCTCCTTCATTTCTGCTTGGGCACGAGCTTTTGCCTCCTCAAGAGAAGCCTGGGAAAAGGTGATACCTCACAGTTAAGATTCTACATGGTTCAATGCAGAGCAAGATTCAACAAACTTTAAAGCACCATAGACTATTTAGTGTGGAAAATTCGATGTGACTTACTTGAGTGTCTTCAAAATTCTGTGTGATGAAACTTTCACCCATGAAAAAAGGAACTTTTTCAACATCACCCTCTAATAATACCAATTCGTCACAGGCATCTTCTAGATTCTTCAAGTACTCCTGGAACAAAAATTGCCAAACAATACATTAAAATCTAATAGACAGAACAGGTGATCACCAGGTGAACCAGAGGAGGAGACAGAAACGCCAAAGTAGCAAGGTAAAAGGAAAGAAATGACAGGGTACGAGATCAGTTGGGGCTTTAACATTTTAGTACTCTCTTTCAATTTTAGGTAAACTGCGTCATCGAAGGAGTGCTAGAAGAAGACTCAACTCTGAAATAATTGAAAGGGTCGGTTTCTGCCTTTCGTATTCCTCTTTCCCTTTGCTTCGGGATGGGCAAAGCCAACCTTCTGCATGAAAAAGTTATGATGACTTTATCAGAAATATGGACAGATTAATAGCATATTTACAATAAAGTACCTTTTTTGTCTTTAGTTCTTCTTTCAGTTCATCTAGTTTGGCATTGTGTCGAGCAAATTTGTTGATCATCTGCTGGTCATCGTAGGTGATGTGAACATCGGACTCCTAAGACATAAATGAGAAGAAAATTTTTTAGCCTGACAAGCAACATAACAAATAGTCGATTCCCTTCAGCAAATCACCATATTTCAACAAGGAATTTCAACGGCGATAAACCACACAATAAATGAGGTTAGTTCCGGGTAAGCAAAGAACCTTTCCGAACGACAATACTTACGGGCTGGAACGAACTCTTCGAAACTGCAGTTGTAGCCGCCATTTCGATTGAAGGCACGAAACAAAATTAAGGAGCTGTCAGAAACAAAGTTAAAAAACATAAACTTTAAGGAGCGGTGCGGTCGTCGGAATGCGGTGAGGTAAACAATCTTTCAGTCAGATTTGTATTGGTATTAGTATGTGCAGATTGCACTGTACCTTTGGCGAGGCTAGGCCCGCAGCAGTATGAGAAGTTTAGCTCGAGATTATTTTCATTTTGTATCATTTTGTATCCTCAAATACCACCAGAAGGACGACGGTCACGAAGAAAATCCAACAAAACTGTTCGTTCCTGCTGCGTTCTTGCTCACTTTGATCTATGGAACTGCGATGCCCAGCACAGGAGCCGCAGTTAGGATGTCCCTCTCCCTACCCATTGGCCACCCGATTTGGCGCCATAACAGCGGCTCGGTTTGAATGGTGCACGCCTCTGTCAAGAGAGTATGCGTTCACAATGCATACATAGAACCTTATTTTCTCCCGCTGTTTGTTACTTTATGAATCCAATGTCTTTGTTTCAATTTACAGACCCCAGAAGACTGATTCCCACAGTCGTTTTCGTCGCTTTGTCTCTCTCAGAGTCATGGACAGGCGTCCCGAGTAGGAGAGCGAGAGGGCAGAGCGACGAAAGTGTCTAAATTAAGCATAAATTCAAACGAATGTGCCATTACTGCTCAAAGTCAGGTAAAATCTTGTCTCATTCGTTTCAACGTGATGTCACGTTCCTGGAATGAAAGTCATTGCTCATAGGGTAGATAGAAGATAGCTGATATCGTCTAATTTTGGAGGCACAGATGGCGGCTCATCGGGCACCGACTACCACTCAGGTTGCGTGCACCTCTGCGGCCGGACGATGTCCCGGACGATGTCCCGGACGATGTCCCGACCGCTGCCCCTCGTGGTCGTCCTGACCGTCATCGTCCTGGGCGTCCCCGAGGCCGCCACCCAGCAGACCAGCCTATGCCCGAAGCCGAGGACGAGAGCTGGTTTCCTGCTCGGCGAAGTAAGGCGTCGGACCAGGGTTGTTCCGTCTTCCGCACTCTGAAAACCTTACAAATTCAAACCTTAAAGTATTTTGTGCATACGGAAGCTTCCAAAGAAAATACTTTGTAATTTAGCAACTATTTCTTCGTCCACACGCGTGATTTCCCAGTTCGTAGGCACCTGGTACGAGATGAAAAGGACCCCTCGCGATATCGGGGCCGATGACTGTGGCGTGGTGACGTACAGTTGGATCACGTCTGACACCGTCCAAGTCACAGACATCTTCTACATGCCCGAGTGAGTAAACACGAAACGATAACTTTCTGGCGTTCGCGCTGAAAAAATGACCAAGTATATGTTTGTGCCCACTTACCACTACATTGCACGGGAGCCACATTGCAAGAAAAAGTGTAGATATAACAAAAGTACAACAGAAACTGTACAATGAAAGTACAACAGGGATTGTAGAAAGTACAACGAGAATTGTACAAACCACAACGAGCCCTGGATTGCACAGCACTTCTCATGCCGGTTCCATTGTACTTTGTACAACAATTTTTGTACTTGAAAAGTATACTAAATTCCTGATAAAAAAAATTTGCCAGAAATTTGTTTACTTTTGTTGTGGTTATTTCCTGCAGTGCACGGCCCGGAAAAATCGCTATAACGGTTCTTTTCTTCCAGCAACACATCGATAAACTTCGTCAGGATGGCAGCCAAGATAGTGGACGCCAACTCCGGTAAATTCTCCGTGACTTACCCGATAGAACCTGCGCAATCCGGCATCGAAACGTCTGACGGTACTGGGTCACCATAAAATGTACATAAAATGTAGCACTAATGTGCATTCAGTGTGAAAGTGTTTCCGTCCCGTTCTGTTGCAGGCCCTCCGTTCATGTACTGGGTCCTGGACTCCGATTTTATTACGTACGCCGTGCTGTACTCGTGTCAGGAACAACCAGGCGCCATCGTCCCGCAAAGTAGGGCAGTTCAAGATTTTAAGTTGTAACGTGATCAAGGGGAAATAACTCTGAATTTCAGTGTACAAATGAATGAATTTCGTGAATTTCATTGAATTTTTTGAAATTCAGTGAATTTTTTGAATTTTATTGAATTTTAGTGAATTTTTACGAATTTTGGCGAATTTTATTAAATTTCTATGAATTACTTTGAATTTTTTGAATGAATTTTTGCGAATTTTGCTGAATTTTATTGAATTTCTAAGAAATACTTTAAATTTTGTAAATGTTAGAGAATTTTTGAATTTTGGTGAATTTTAAGAATTTTTGTGAATTTCAATGAATTTTTGTGAACTTTAATGAATTTTGGTGAATTTTAATGAAATTTGGTGAAGTTTTTGCAATATTTCAGTGAAATTTTAATGAATTTTTTTGAATTTTAATGAATTTTTTTGAATTTTAATTCAAGTGTACATTTTTTTCTGAAGTTATTTCCCCTTGAACGTGATAGCCTCTTCAATTTGCTGAGTTCTTTCTTGGCTGCAGTCGCCCTGACCGTACTCGCCAGAGACCCTTCGACCTACGACATCGAGATGAACGTCAGGGCGTCCCGCGTGATCGTGGCCGCCGGCCTGAACCCCAACCTCCTCAGGCCGGTTCAGCACCATACGGGGTGCCCGTCGGTCACCTGCCCTAAGTGCTCCGGCGCAGTGGACAAGCTGAATCTCGAGAGGGTACACGGCAAAAACAACTCCCAAAAAACTTGGATCCAGCATGATGTTAGCTTGCAGGCTCCAATTGAATTTATTTTCAGTCCGAGTCGAGATCAAGCCTGATCCAATTTTGATCCCTCCCCATACCGTCTTCGATGCCTTAATAATGTCGCGAACACTGTGAAACCAAGTGTGGAGAACTCGATACTGGAAATGCATAGGTACAAAGCTTCGCGCTGCACTGCGTACGCACTTACAAGTGCAGAGTTTACATTCCCCTCGCCTCAAGTGTGGAGTTTTCCTCATTTGCACCACGCCAGAGGTTCTATGAGGTACTCCACACGTTAAGTTAGGACACGGCAAACTCCACTCGTCCCAGTGTGAAGGGTTTACTCCGCACCCAGGAATTCTCCACACTGGGTTTGACAGTGAAGGCTCCGGGAGGGCTGCTTTCTCACTAAAAGGGCCCCACATTTTCTTCTCCAGCTGAGAGGTTCCTGGTGGGAGGTCCAGCACAGCCCCTACGCAGAGAACTCCTCCAGCTGCCGCGTCATCGACTTCGCCGCGGTCAGATACGGCTACACGACCTACGGCACCAAATTCACCACCTCCTATCACGAGATCCAGTAAGGGCGCTGTGAAGCCAAGAACCCTACACTTGAAATGCGCGCAGGTGTGGAATTTGTGGGGGCCGTATTCGGAAGTGCAGAGTTTGCAGTCTCCCACTTCAAGTGCGAAGTTCTCCTCGTTTGCACCATGCCAAGAGATTGGTGCTCTGTGAGACTGCCGAGGGGGCAACCACTCCAGAAATCCTGTGTCCCCTGGCGCCCTAGAAATCTCTGGAAATCCAAAATCTTTCTCCAAAAGGGCCAAAACCAGGCAGATTACTGGATTAAAAATGGACGAAATCCTACGAAATCTCTTGTCTTAAGAAATCTTGTGTCGCACGTGGTTGGGCCTCGGAGACTCCGAACTCCACAAGTCCAAGTGCGGAGAATTCTCCACACCAGCGAGTGTGTTCTTCCGAGTTCTCCGCACTGACAGTGCAGTGACTTGCGTTTCCAACTGGTGAAGGGCACTGCTATTCGAGAGTCACGTCCTATTCGCAAGAAAGTTAATTTTGTCGTGTTTCTTCGACTCATTTGTTTGAACGGTGATCCATGTTCCCACGAATGTGACATCGTATTCAATCGAATGAGACAAGATTCACATTCCAACGAATGGGGTCGCGATGACATTCTGCTCCGTTTTGCAGCGACAGCCCACAAACGAAGAGATGGTACCTGCAAGGCACATGGAGTTACCCCAACCAGCAAAATGGATCGTTTGACTTAGGTGACGGTAAGACACAGAGCCGCTATCGCTGTGGCGAGTAAGAAGGTTTGGCAGCCAGCCTACACTGAGAATGAAAGAGTCATAACCAAAATTATAATATTGGGTGATGTATACTCGCATCAGCATCAAAATTTGGGTGAGGATTATTTTATGGCCCAAATTTGGGTGACAAAGGTTTCATCACCCAAATTTGGGTGGCCATGCAATCTTACTTATAGATAGCAAGATACACCCTGTATCGCCCAAATTTGGGTAAGGACACCTCCACCCCCCTTCTTTTCAGCAATAAATAATCCTCACCTAAATTTGGCTGATAAAGTGCGCCACACCCGAAGTTTGGTATTTGATCAGGAAGAGTCTTTAATTCTCAGTGATACTGTCTGCTTGATGCTGAAGAAGAGTTATCAATGACGGGGAATTCCAAAAATACATTGGGCCACCCTTAAGGCCACTTTCAAGGCCACTCACCTCTCCAGGCCACCGTCCAGGCCACCCTCCAGGTCACCCTCCAGGCCACCCTCCAGGCCACCCTCCAGGCCACCCTCCAGGCCTCTTTCAAGGCCACTTTCAAGGCCACTTTCAAGGCCACTTTTAAGGGGGCAGATCACTCCAAAATGATCAGAAATTGCAACTTTTTTTTATAAGTTTATACTATAGACCATTCTTTTCTGCGTCAAATGGCGAAAACCGCATTCCGAAATTCAAAAAATTGCAGTTTTAGGAGGTTGTGGGCCGCAAACATGCATAGGGGAAATGCCCAGTTTCCCTAACTTTGATCGCATTTTTCTCGGAACATGAAATTGCAAACGGTTGCAGGCCTCTAGGGCGCAGTATTTGAGCTACAGCGGGGAGACTTAGCATGGAAGCTACTACGACTTGCCGCTATGGTGGGAAGCAAAATAATTTGCATTGGTCAATTTTAATTATTTTTTTAACGTTCAAAATTGAACAATTTTGACCCAAAAAACTGAACCTTTTTTTTGGTATGTACATTACAATACAACTTAAAATGATTTTTTTAAATGTGATGGAGGTACCCACTATAGCCAGACATTTCAGGAAGGCTGTCACAAAATTTCGTTGTTCTAGGCGAGGGGTCGACAACTACCTCGAGCCGTGTACGAGGTAGTATATATTACCGGTAATATAAGTAATATAGGATAATATAAGGTAATATACGGAAATAAAATAACGGTAATATATGATAAAAGAACACGAAAACGTGACATAGTATCCTTGACTAAGGCTGAAATCATGAGTTCCGGCCAGAATTTTAGTATTATGCAGACCCCACCCTCGTTTCATGCTAGAGCCCCCTGTCAGATGAAAGGTATGCAACCCGATGCAACCAATCTGACAAAAGTGTGGCGCGTAGCTTCGTGTCAGGTTCAGCACGGACATCAAATCCGAACTTCTTCCTGTCGCAATGAGAAGCCTAAAAGCTTTAACACCTTGATACCATGGTTCAATACGGCAAGTTAAACGTTAGATTAGGTTAAAAACAAGCAAATCACATAAATGTGTGGTCACATTGTGGTAATATGGAGGTAATATACGGTAATATACGGTAATATAGGGTAATATAGGGTAATATAAGGTAATATAAGGTAATATAGAGGTAATATGAGCTCTGCGTACGAGGTAATATGGGAGTTGTCGACCCCTCGGTTCTAGGTCAAACCGTTTGGCGTCCAGCGCTGCAACCTAACACTCAAAAACTGCGTTTTCAACGAAAGCGCTGTACTGCCCTGGCGGATTGACTTAGTGTTGTTTTATACTTTATCTGTTAAAATATGAACAATTTTTCTCTTTCCGTTTGGTTTTTGTGGCGTTTTTACAAATGCACTGTTTTTGGAGTGATGTCCCCCCCTTAAGGCCACTTTCAAGGGCGCGCTAAAAAAACACTGACGTATAACTTTTATTCCGTAGAGGGCATCTTGTGCGTGCTGGGCACCGACTACGATAACTGGGCCGTGGTGTCGGTCTGCTTGGCCGCGTCGGCGGAAAGACTATCGCACCCCCCCATACAACCCCCGGGCAACGACATGACCCCGGCCACCAGAGGTACGCCCAACGGCAACACTCTCGCCAGACACGGCACTTGGACACCAGGTGTGGAGATCTCCACACTTCGAATGCGAAGGTGTGGAATTTTCAATCTCCGCACTTGGGAGTGCAGAGTTTGCAGTATAAACACTTCAAGTGTGGAGTTCTCCACGTTTGCGCCATGCTACGTCCAAGTGTAGTGTGCTCAACACCTTGCGGTTGAGTACGCTATAACGCCTTCCCTTCTCTGCAGGTGGCGTCTATGTGCTGGCCAGGAACCACGGCCTCACCCCGGGGCAGCAGCTAGAAGCCAACAAGGCCGTGGCCACGGCCGGCGTGCCCCCCGCCTACATGCAGGCCACGCCGTCGACGCCCTGCCCGGATGTCCTAATGCCCGTCAGCGCCGCCAACGCCACCAAGACCTCAACCATCCTGCTTCTGACCGCACTGGCTGCCGTCTTGAGGCACCTCAGGCCTGCACAGTGAAAAATAAAAACACTCCGTGAAAGTGCTTTTGGAACAGATTCTGTTTTATGACACTTAAATTTGCCCGCATGTTTCGAAGTGACAGATACAAATACTACCACGCAATTACTCTACAAACTTATGAGTGTAGGTCACTTCAGGTCGATGCCTGCAAGCGGACTACCCGTAGTAAGCCTCGTGCCCTCCACATGAAGCCATTGTGGATACTTGCACAAGCATAGTGCAAAGGTAGTGTTAGAGTATTTGCACAATTTGTGCAAGTTTCCTGAAGCGTGCCTGGCGTGCACACTATGACACACCTGAGTTCGAAGAGTGACAAAATGGACTTGTAATCAATGAATAAAACACTCCCGGCGCACTTCCAAAACCAAGTGTGGAGAACCACAGCCTCCAGCCTTCCGTGTGTCCTGTAGCGCGGGAGGGAAAAGGAGGTTCAGATGACGCCTTCCCATCCTCCCCTTTTGGGTTCTCGGCTGTACACAGCCGCGGCTGCATACTGAAAAGGAGGCGAAAAGCACGGCTTCAGTGCCAATGAAGATATTGAGGCATTTTATGACATGAAACGGGATGCGGTCGCTGCGCCGCCGTCGCTGCGCCGCGCTGCGAGCAGGGAGTAGCGACCAGCGCGGGGGAGGGGGGGGGGGAGCTTCTCCGGAAAATCGATACGCGGAGGCCACCGAGCCACCTCTGCAGGGCTGTGCGTCCCTGGTCTCGCAGTGGCCTATTCCGAGTGTACCGAGACCCACCCACCGCGTCCGAGGCCCACCCACCGCCACCCACCGCGGGGAGAGCCCGCGTGGCCGAGACTTTCGCTGTTATCACTCGCAGTGAGCCTCCTTCGTTGAACATGACGCGTTCGTCGACCGATATCACAATTCATGGAACGCGGATGACGTCCTCCGACGAATGTGACAGCAAATTCAAACGACCGTGTGACGTCGCTACTCGGTTAAAACGGTCCGAAGAGCGAATTGCCGTAATCGGTTCCGAGTACGCTGTACCGCTCACTGTAAGAACGCGGCGCGACTAGAGAGTGTCAAAGATAGTGGGAGATATAGTTGCACGCGGCGCGGACCGGCAGTTGCCGCCATCATGTGCCAGCCGCTGCACCTCGCCGTCGTCCTCGTCCTCGGCGTCGTCGTCGCCGTCCTGGGCGTCATCGAGGCCGCCACCCGGGCGGCCACCTTGTGCCCGGAGCCGAAGACAAAAGACGATTTCATTGTGGACAACGTGAGGCTTACACGAGTGCACCGCGCACAGCGGACGTGTTACACAGCACACAGCAAAAACGGCTCCAGGGTTTTCCAAGGAACTTCCTGGAAATCGCCCGTCTTAGGCCCAAGATTGGCAGCGGTTGGATCTGGTAGCGTCTTCCCAACCGACAACCGGCTCTGCGGTTCCCAAACCGAACCGAGCTTGGCTGGGTCGGAACGGTTCTGTTCCTTTAGCGCTCGGAGTACACTGTAAAAATTTATGTTGTAATTTAGCAGTAAATATGTTGCTAATTTTCTTAGCGATCAAAGTTGTTTTCAAATGACTTTCGTTGTTTACTAACGAGTTGCGTCGTTCGTCCACAAGATGTTTGTAAACCGCACCCACAAAAGGCGTTTCTTGAACGAAGATAATGTACTTGCCATAAGTGAATTTTCTTGACACATTCAAGAAAATTCACTTGTGACAAGTGTACTTTCACTTATGACAAGTACAGTATCTTGGTTCAAGAAACGCCTTTTTTGGGTGCGGTAGACAGCCTTATTTGCATCAATTTTTATTGCCGATTAGGTCACAGACCTAGTAGAGTCCCGGTTACCCCGCAGTAACCACTTCTTAGATTGTGCGGGTTGTTTGTACGCAACAAAATATTGTTTTGAAATAGCATAAGTCATAAAAATAATTAGCAACGAATTCGTCGTTTTAAAACAAGCAAACTTGTTCACAAACAACAGCGTTGTCGAGGTTGGTAATTGTGTTGTTGTTTTAAAACAACAATTTTTAACAGTGTATGGTGCCTCCACTCTCATTCAAGGAACGCGACATCACGTTGAAACGAACGTGACACAATGCTCAAAGGAACGTGACATTGTGTCACCATTGGTTTCAACATGATGGCCTGGGAAGAGAGTGTCTCTTGTACGAGCGGCCACCTGGTGGCAGTTCTCGTCAGGCTGGCTCAGGCTGGCCAGGGTGCACCCACAAGCTGTCTGAGACCTTCGCACGCCGAGCAGGCAAACTAATATGAACATTGCCGATGTTTGCAATAGGATACCTGGGATTTTGCCATGAGTGCACACGACAAAAAAAGCTGTTCCTGGTTTCTGCAGGAACTCCCTGGAAACCACTGACGTCTTTTCTAAAGGCTTCCTGCAAACCAGGAGTAGCTTTTGCCGCCCACACCTGATTTCACAGTGGAGTTCCTGCGTCTGCTTCAGTTTCTGGGCACGTGGTACGAGATGAAGAGGACCCCTTGCACGCTTAATGTCTTACGAAGGCGAGTCTTTGTATTATGGTGACAAATCTTCGTATTATGGTGCAAAACCTTCGTATTATGGCTGCTGCGCTCGCTCCGTAACCTACGAAGCCAAATTCTTTGTAAGTTACGAAGAAATTGACGTATTTTCTCTGTATTACAAACAATTTTCGCACCATAATATGGCTGCACAGCCTTTCTTCGTAAGAAATTAAGTGTGTGGGGCTTCGACGTCGAGGACGAAGGCGAGTGCGGCACGGTGCGCTACTCCTGGGTCAAACCGGACAAGAAAGACGAGCTCAAAGTCGAAAAGATCTACTTCCTGCCTCAGTAAGCACTCGCGGAGGTATATCATTTTCATTCTCCGCACTTGGATGCACTAAGTTTGTAGTCTTCATACCTAGCGTGTGGCGCTACCCACGCTTGCACCTGCTTGCTACTTAAAACAGCCAAAACGGCTGGCCAATTTTACGGCTAGAAAACTTGCCACCGTCTTTACAGAGCAGACCTTCGTAACATTCTCTGAATTGAAGCCGACAGTAAAGACAGGCGATTTGCAGGAAGTTCCTGCGATAACCAGGAACTGTTTTGCTGCATGCCCTTCATAATAAGGCGATTTTTGTACCAAAAAAATAAAAAAGTTTGGGATGTGTTAAAACACATTGCAAGGTTGTTACCATGTGGCAAAAGTCTATCCAGTCTTTTCTTCCTGCCCTGAAGGAATTCTACGGTCAGCGTCGTCATGATGTCTGCCGTCCCTTCCGACATCTCCAGCGGCAAATTCACTGCGACGTTCCCGACGCGAATCTATGAGAAACCGTGTAAGTAACGCTCGCTGTGAATCCAAGTGTTGAGAAATCCACACTCGAACTGCGGAGGTGTAGAACTTTCAGTGTCCACAGAGGAGTTGTACGGGCTCTATAAGCTGCTCCTAACTTGAAGTGTGGAGACTACAGCCCCACACGTGGAGAACTAACCCGCACCCAGGACGTGTAGGGACTTCACGACACGGTTGGACAATGCCGTTCTGTTGGGGTTCTGTTGCAGACCGTCCGTTCAGGTACTGGGTGCTGGGAACGGACTACGTCTCGTTCGCCGTGATGTTCTCGTGCCAGGAACCAGAGGGCCTCGACAGGGGGCTCCATCGTCCCGACCTCGACAGGGTACAACCGCATTTCATGTGTGGAGTTCGCCACACTTGGTTTCACTGGGTTTCACTGGGTTTCACTTGGTTTCACAGTGTTTCACAGTGTTTCGCAGTGTTTCACAGTGTTTCACAGTGTTTCACAGTGTTTCACAGTGTTTCACAGTTGAAACACGATGCAAAAGACCCGTTTTGAAGAACCCCGATTTGACCCCCAGTTCGCGGGCCCCTGGTGGAACGTGCAGCACGGCCCCTACGCCGAAGACTCCGACCGCCAGAGCTGCCGCGTCACGGAGATCGCCGCCACGGGCAGAAACACCATCAAACTCGTCAACTCAGTGATGATAAAGAAGGACGCGTTCAAGTAAGAAACCTTCACTGGGATACCAAACGCAGTGAACATACCAGCACGCATGCATTGAAATGTCACACCACGCGTGCAAAGCCGTTGCCATATTGCCCCTTCCGTGCAATGGGTCCCGAAAAAGCCTTATCCTATGCATATGAATGGGAAAGTATTGCACTTCATGTGGAATGCAAAAGCATTACATCAATTGAGGCCACACTCATAGCGTTCGGATTGTTAGAAGGTGCTTCTGCCGGCCTCACCGACTCAGGAAAAAAAGAAACCCACACACATGTTTCGCAATGAATGAGGTGTCGCCCGTCTCACGCTACGCTCGTTTAATAGTTTAATAAAAATCGGCTTGATCAGGATTTCAGACACGTTCCTGACACTCTGGCAAAATTCACGCGAGTGCCTCCTGGCCTGCCTCGTCCCCTTTCGGGCTCTGGGCAGCCACCGAAATGGAGGCAGGAAGCATGGCATCATAGTGAGGTGCCAATGATGATGTTGAGGCATTTTGACTCTAAACGGGATGTTACGGGGTCGCTCCACTGCCGTCGCTACGCCGCGCTGGTGCGGCCGGGCCGTGCGAGCAGGGAGTAGCGACCAACGTGGGGAGCGGGAAATTTCGCCGGCAAAGCTGCTGAGCCACCTCTGCAGGGCTGTGCGTCCCTGGCCCCATAGTGGCCTATTCCGAGTGTACCGAGACCCACCCACCGCGTCCGAGGCCCACCCACCGCCGCCAAAGACCCACCCACCGCCGTCCGAGGCCAGGGACGCACAGCCCTGCAGAGGTGGATCGGCAGCAGCCCACCGCGGCCCGAGGCATCAATTGACGCTATACCCTCTCCACTCCGGACAGGTGGTTACGATATTTCATGAACGGTAAAAACGGTTTCTGGTTTTCTCAGGAGCCCCCTGGAAATCGCCTTTGACATTGGCTTGCTAGGAAAACCAGGAACCGTTTTGACCGTGCGTGATACAACCAGTTCGGATCTTTCTTATGAATCAGGATATTCAAATCATTGTTGCATCCAAACGAATGTGACATATACTATATGAAAAACGATTGAGACGAAACATTCCAACGAATGGGATGTAATATTCAAAAGATTGTGATATTATTTAAGGCCTCCGTGCCAACATTTCTTAAAAATCGTGACCCGATTTTGTTCATACCCTCTTCTCATTGAAGAAAATGTCGCTAAAATTGTTTTTTTTTACGCTCAGACCAGGGAACGAACATGCATGGCAGACCTCCGAGAGCCAGTGGCGGGGCTCCGACCGGCGCGATGGATCGTTCGGCAACGACCTCGGTAAGACACGGGCCGCACACTTACTGCTTACTCTTATGCTTATGCTACAGTGCTCCGGGAAAATCACACTGAGAAAACCTTACAAACTATTTTGGGCCTTACATAGAAAAGGAGTTGGTATAACAAAGTATTTTGAGCATACATAGGCTTACAAAGAAAATACTTCGTAATTTACGAACTATTTCTTCGTATAACAAAGTATTTTAGTTTGTTATATGTATGCTCAAAATACTTCGTAAGGTTTTAAGAGTGCACCTGCTGGGGATTGGAGGTGCACCACAATTCTTGTCCAGCGCCGGCGGCGTGGAAATAGATCGAACGCATAACGCAACGAACGCAACCAACCGCTTCACGGTGGGCCAGAAGACCGGCGCCAGCGGCCAAAACTCTAGACGCGTTTTGAGCTCCAGAGTCGCTAAACAGGCAAGAACCGAGCGTGCGACCCTTTCAATGGATTCCACGTTCGGAGAGCAGTCCATTGGTGGGGTCACACTTTCGGTTCGAGTCCCATTGAGCGACTCTATGGAGCCGTCTGGAGCTCACAACGCGTCCGGGATTTTGACCGCTTCCACCGGTCTTTCGGCCTACTGTGCACGCATCCCCAATGTTAGCCTTCACTCCGCAGGTGCCAAGATGTGCGTGCTGGCCACCGACTACGACAACTGGGCAGTGCTCTCCGTCTGCGCCGCGCGCGATGAAGGCGACGGCTTCCCTGTCCTGCCTTTCGGGGCGCGATGGGTGGTCAAACCAGGTCCGCGCAATCCAACCAAGTGTTGCGGAGTAATTCTCCTTGGCGCGTGCAGAGTTTGTAGTTTTTACACTTCAAGTGTGGAATAGTTGCTCACAGAGCCACTACCTCTCGGAATGGGATCAATGTGAAGAACCCCACCCACACTTGACGAGTCTGCAAAGTCTGCACTACAAAGTGCGTGGAGACCAAAATTCCTCTCCTCCATGAAGTGTTAAGGTCTCCCCACTTGGTTTGGCAGTGAGTACGCTAACGCCTTGCCTTCTCTGCAGGAGGCGTCTACGTGCTGGCCAGGAACCGCGGCCTCACCCCGGAGCAGCAGGCGCACGCCAACAAGGCCGTGGCCAAGGCCGGCATCCCCCCCTCTTACATGCAGGCCACGCCGTCGACGCCCTGCCCGGAAGTCCTGCTGCCCGCCACCGCTGGCGCCGCCAACAAGACCCCGGCCATCCTGCTGCTGTTCGGGCTGGCCACCGTCCTGGGGCCTGCACAGTGAAAAAATAATAAAAAAATACTTTGTAAAAGTGCTTTTGCACTGTTTTATGACATTCCGTAGAACTCTGGCCATCAATTCTAAAAAAAAAGTTTCCAGAACCTCGGCTTTCAAAGGCTTTCAGACATGTTCCTGACACTCTGGCAAAATTTACGCGAGTGCCTCCTGGCCTCGTCCCCTTTTGGGCTCTGGGCAGCCACCGAAATGGAGGCAGGAAGCACGGCAGTGAGGTGCCAATGATGATGTTGAGGCATTTTGACTCTAAACGGGATGTTACGGGGTCGCTCCACTGCCGTCACTACGCCGCGCTGGTGCGGCCGGGCCGTGCGAGCAGGGAGTAGCGACCAACGCGGGCGGGAAACTTCGCCGGCAAAGCTGCTGAGCCACCTCTGCAGGGCTGTGCGTCCCTGGCCCCATAGTGGCCTATTCCGAGTGTACCGAGACCCACCCACCGCGTCCGCCGCCCACCCACCGCCGCCAAAGACCCACCCACCGCCGTCCGAGAGTCCGAGGCCCACCCACCGCGGTGAGAGCCTGCGTAGCCGAGACTTTGGTTCACTGTTAAAAGAAACTGTAGGAAAACAGCACATTTACCAACGAGTGATTTGCTTTTAAGCAGCACGTGTCATCGGAACTTAAAACAGCACAAATGCTGTTAGGAAACAGCAAGTTTCATCATTGGAGAAAACAACAAATATAGTCGATTTCCAATGCTGGAAAACAGAACATCTTGTTTGTAAAATTAATGATATGTGCTGTTTTGGAACGGTATCCTGTCATTTAAAAACAACACCATTCAATTGAAGATTTGCCGGAGCATTTTGCAGCTCACGGCTCAAATCAAACTCCAACTATGTCAAAATAAATTCTGTTGTTTCTGAACAGCATTTGTGTTGTAAAGTTTTTTAGCAACACTTCCAATTTTTAAACAGCGGTGAACTGTCCAAGAACTGCACGAACTGTTACAAAACAAATGTCTTGTTTGAGCCGTCAGGAAACTCCTATTTCCTTTTTGTGAATAACAGAGAGACCGCGTTGAAGAACAGTGCTGTTTGTAAACAGAAAAGAGCGTTTCTGAATGACTGCTAGTATTGGATAAGACTATTAGTACCCTCGACATTTTTTTTGTAAATGTATAACAACTTCTTTGTTTGAAAACAGAAAAGTGTTGTTTATGAACAGGTTGGTGCCATTTGGAAATGGTAATTCTGTTACACAACAACTTATTGTCAGAGATCAGATACAGAGAGCCATCATCCCTTTTTACAACACTGCTGTTGAATAACGACTCAGTGTCCAACAATATGCCGTTCTTCTACAACAAGTGTTGCTAAAAAACTTAACAGGATATATGCTGTTAATTAACAGCATCTTTTCTATCAGTGTTGTTATCGCGCGCAGTGAGCCTCCTTCGTTGAACATGACGCGTTCGTCGACCACTTTTGGTCCAAGACCCCCACCATCATGTCGTTGCTGGCCGCCGCCTCGGGGGCAATAGAAAATAAATACCAACAAACCAAGTCTTGTGGATTTTCATTGGTTCCCTCATTCCTGCTCACTTAATTCTTCTGGACTTTGCTATGCTAAATATACATGCACATATACGTACGAAATGTGTGTGCATCACTGTGTACATTTTATGTAGGGATGCATGATGCATAATATATTATTTTTACGCTATACGCACGTATCTGTGCATGCATGCATAAAAAGTGCATAACTGTACATTTGAAAATTCCACACAAGAGTTTACTGTTCGCACGACGAAAGCAAGACACCTGCGAGGCCGGGCTACTGGCGCGGTCAAACGGGTCATATGCATATGCGGACCTTTAACTTTAGGGTAATCGTGTATTGGCAGTGTTCAGGTTTCACTGCCAATAGCAAGGTTGTACAGGAACAATCACACTCGGAGAACCGTTTACTTCCTTTTTCGTGCCTACACGTTCAGCAACCACTAGCAAACCCCCTTTCCCGCGTCTACTTGTTGCGTCACCCCAAGCGCGCCCTACCTTTCCTTGTGACCCCCTCCCATCCCCAGCCCCTCGCTGGACCGACGACGTGTCCAGTCCTGCCAGCCATCAAACCAAGTGTGAAGAGATCTCAACTTGAAGTGGTCATTGCAAATTTCTGCACTTCGAAGTGCGGAAACTGCAAATTCCACACCGCCTCATTTCAAGGGTAGAGTTCTTCCCACTTGGTTCCACAGTGTGGGCGCGACGTGGTGGCGCCGCTGTGCACCCCCTCCCTCGGACGCGTCGGGTGGATCAATACCAGCGCATCGCGTTCATTGGTCGATGAGCGAGCAGCCGCTCTCTATTTCTTCCTGCCTTTCTTCTTGCTTTTTCTACACAACACGTTGTTGACTCCTGAGGAGTCGCACCCCGGCTCCATACAGTGCAGCAGCGGCTCGCACCCTGCTGGCCCTCGCCTTACCGCGTGCCACGCCGGGCCACGCCGGGCCACGCCGTGCCACGCCGGGCCACGCCGTGCCACGCCGGGCCACGCCGTGCCACGCCGTGCCACGCCGGGCCACCCCGGGCCACGCCGGGCCACGCCGTGCCACGCCGTGCCACGCCGGGCCACGCCGTGCCACGCCGTGCCACGCCGTGCCACGCCGGGCCACGCCGGGCCACGCCGTGCCACGCCGTGCCACGCCGGGCCACGCCGGGCCATGCCGGGCCACGCCGGGCCACCGGGCCATGCCGGGCCACGCCGGGCCACGCCGGGCCACGCCGGGCCATGCCGGGCCACGCCGGGCCACGCCGTGCCACGCCGGGCCACGCCGGGCCACGCCGTGCCACGCCGGGCCACGCCGGGCCACGCCGGGCCACGCCGTGCCACGCCGGGCCACGCCGGGCCATGCCGGGCCACGCCAGGCCACGCCGGGCCATGCCGGGCCACGCCGGGCCACGCCGGGCCACGCCGGGCCACGCCGGCCACGCCGGGCCACGCCGGGCCACGCCGTGCTACGCCGGGCCACGCCGGGCCACGCCCTTGGCCGGGCGTGGCCTCTGGGTCGCTGTCCAGTCGTCGTCTCTGACTTCTTCGAGCAACAGTCGGGCGCTGCAAAGCTCGACCCCCAGCCAGCATGACTCTCACGCCGGCCGGGTTCTGGCCGCAAAGCAACGTTTTCCTCGGCGTCAGGATAATCTTGCTCGCAAGATATGAACGATAAGTCCCGAAGGCCAAAAATGCTATAGTTGGTGAGGTATTTGAAGTGCAGTCTACGTGCCATAGAACTGATTCAGCTGTTATCAGTCGGAGGGCCACCAGCTCAGCCCACCGCACGCGCCGCCTGACGCGCGCACGACCTCCGGCCCTTTACTGATTCAGAGGACGACGCAGGCCGCGCCGTGACCAATCATAGAGCTACGTATATAGTGGTGGTGTGATGCGGGGGTAGTCACTCGCCGTCAACATGTGCCGGCCGCTGCACCTCGTCCTGGCCGTCGTCGCCGTCCTCGGCGTCCCCGTGGCCGCCGCCCAGCAAGCCGCCTTGTGCCCGCAGCCCAAGACGCAAGCCGGATTCCTCGCGGACAGCGTAAGGATGACGTAAAGGCCAGCCTCGCCCCTAGCAGTGGGCGGAGGTCTGCATACGAGGGGTGGATGTACATCTCCTCCTTGACTGGACGTACTGCGAGTGGGAGCTTGTAGTCGCTTGAGGCTCTTCTCCGCCGGGATAGTGTCACCGCCACCAGGACGGTCTTGTCTCGTTTTGCAGTGCAGGTGGGCATGTGTCGGGCCCGAAGGCAAACGATCAGTTGTGGTCTAGTCCGCAATGGTAATGGTAGCGCCTGCCGACACTGCCGATCCGTCCGGCAATAACTCAGCTACCTTGCCACTGTAAAGACGACATGCGTGGTCTAGCCCGTAATGGTAATGCGAGGTAGGCCTCCGTCTCCACGGCCGTGTGTTGCGGGACGAATTGGTGGCCTAGCTCACAGGCGCTTCAGACCACAGACGAGCACCTGCAATGGAAAGTGTGTACTGAGTGCACATTTCATTTTTCAGTGTGGGGAGCAGAGCCGCCTGTCGGTTAATGGTTTTAGGGAATCGGCACTGGCGGTCGGTTTCGCCTAATTGACGCAGCCACTGCATGATTTGTCAACGTGCGCGTCCGTTTCAGTTCGCAGGCGAATGGCACGAGATGAAGAGGGTGCCCTGGGCCTTCGACACCGAGAGCGACGGTGACTGCGGCACGGTGCGCTTCTCCTGGATCACCAAGAACGACGTCAAGGAAAAGCTCGCCATCGACAACTATTACTTCATGCCCCGGTGAGTCACTGCCAAGCCAAGTGACGAGAACTTCACACTTGCGGGGGTGTGGAATTTGCAGTCTCCGCGCATTTAGAAGTGCAGAGTTTTACAGTCTCATCACTTCGATTGTGGAGTTCTCTGCGTTTTCGATTTCGCCATGCCAAGAGTACACAAAAGTGTTGTGTTGTGCTTCACGAAGGAAATTGAACTGCTTTCTATTATTGAAAAATGCTAAGCTTTTCTTAGTATATTTTACAAAGCCTTCGTTTTCTTCCCGTTAAATCTTGAAAGCAATGACACTTTAAATTACGGCTGCTCTTCCCCACTTATTGGTTTACTTTGGACCGCAGATCCGTCCTCGGCGTGGGATACAGCAACAGGTCAGTCAGCCGCATTGTGCTGTCCGCCGTGCCCGACGACATCGCCAACGGCAAATTCACTGCGACGTTTGACACTCAAACCGCCGAGGAAAAGCGCCTTTGTAAGTCACAGTCTCAAGTTCTGACCTCATAGTGCAGTTAGATAGTTTTTTTTGTTGATTTTCGGTATGGATACGACTTTAACTAATATTGCAGTTATTACGGCCATGAAAAAAGGGCACTGAAAATCCAAAGGGTAACTTTGCTTGCCTCAAAATTGGCAAGCCTCGACCCGAAATCTTCCTTAGCTTGCCAATATCGGGCGCTTCGGCCACCTTCAATGCCAAATTTTGGCAAGCTGGGGAGTGCTTAAGGACCAGGCTAGCCCAGTTTTGGCATTCAAAACGGCTTGCCAATTTTGTGGCAAACAAACTTGCCACCGGTTTCGCGGTGGATGGACCCGGTTTCTTACCAACACCCTGACCTCGCACAACACCCCATGCTGCGTAGTGGAAGGCGGCGGCCCATCCCGATCGAGGAATCGGCCACGCCGTACCGTTTTCCAGTCACCTCACTGTAAAAAAAAGTTGTCACTTTGTGGCAAAATCGTGGATGACATTTTCATCATCTGTAAATAATAACAATGTCATCACTGTGGTGTCATTTTCATGGAAGCTCCTTATACTTTTTTGCATGGGCACGACAACTATGTCATGAAAAGTTTTGAGGACATCCTTGGAAGGGAAATTAGCCTTTGAAATTGTCATCTAGTGACAACCAAAATTTCCACCGTGGGCACTCACGGACCGTTCTGTTGCAGACCCTCCGTTCAAGTACTGGGTGCTGGGCACTGACTACGACTCGTACGCCGTGGTGTTCTCGTGCCAGGAGCCACCCGGCTCCATCGTCCCGCACAGTAAGTCACGAAAAACTTCCGGTGGGAAAACTGCTTTCCGCCTCGATGAATCCATCCGGGATGGGGAGCATAAAAACTTGTGAAATCCTGTGTGCCCAAAATCTCTAAAAATGTGAGATCTCTCCCCCCAAAAGCAGAAATAAAACAAATTTTGGGCGTAAAATCGGGTGAAGTCTTGAGAAATCCAATGAAATCGCCCCCACCTCAATCAAAAGCAGCTGCCCCTTTAATCCACCCCTCTTGGTTGCAGTCAATCTGTGGGTGCTCTCCATGCACCCGTCCTCGTACACCGCCGAAGTGGACGCCAAGGTGACCGCCCTCATCACGGCCGCGGGTCTGGACCCCAGCATCCTCAGGCCGGTGCAGCACCAGTACGGGTGCCCGACCATCGAGCGCTGCCAGCAGTGCAACAAGCCAATGAACGTCGACCTCGAGAAGGTACGCCTCCAACGAGCAAACACGACAAAACACGGAGTGACACGTCTCATGCCGTACTTCGGAGTGAATTTTAAGTCAGGACGAACTTCGTTGTGAATTTTTGACGTGTCATAGTTCGCACTGAGAATGAATGAATCGCCACCACCGCCCTTGATGCAACTTCGCTGTCCAATTTTGGTTGACGTAAAGTTCATCAGCCGAAATTCGGTCCCAGGCGTTTTGTCGCACAAATTTGAGTGACGTCGTCGGCTACGTTGTGAGGTCTCCGATGCCGCAGGCCGTGATGACCCCCATGTTTTTTACCCAAATTTGGGCGATGAATTTTTGACTGGCCAAAATTAATTTATCACTGATTTGTCACCCAAAATTGGGCGACCTTGCGTGCGTCACCCAAAGAAAGGGTAATGATGGTGACTCGTCCTCAGTGCGGGCCTGTGTCCGACCACTTCATGTAAAGTGCTGCAGAATGAAAGTCGCACGTCAGGTGTCGCAAGATTGTTCTTCACTGGGCAACGACCAAAAGGATCTATTTTGAGCACGAGGTGTTTCAGTCCTGGGCGATAAGGTTTATCGCTCCAAAGCGGGTGACGTCAGGGCCCACTTCATGACATCCCGTCGGATGTCCTGCTTTGGAAAAGGGGGGGGGGCGGTGGTCACCACAGTTCCTGGGAGCCATGGTCTCCGCGCATAAAAGTGTCTTTGAAGCACTGGATTCAAATATCTTGAAAACATTTTTAACGATACTGTACAATTTTATTATTTGTCTCGATGAACTTACGAATTTGTACGTGAGTTTTGCACCGAGGGGCACATGCGCATGTGCTACTAAGCGCTTCGTCGCTGTGCCTTAAGCACAACGCAACGAGGCATCCGGCCTAGGCTTGCAAATCTATACACAATATTTACTCATGGTGCTTAAAACACGTCTTAAACTCCAGTTGAAGGGCCCCTGGTGGAGTGTGCAGCACAGCCACTACGCGGACGAATATGACCACGGGAGCTGCCGCTCCACACAGTTCGTCCCCGAAAGTGGCGGCATCAACCTCGAGAGCACCATGATATACAAGCTCACGTAAGTGATCCGCGTCTGGACAGCCGCACGGTGGGCCAGAAGACCGCGCTAAGGCGACCAAAGTTCTAGACGCGTTTTGAGCTCCAGAGTCACTGCATGGGGCTCGAACCGAACGTGTGACCCACCCACTCTCCGAACGAGGTATCCATTGGTGGGGTCACAAACTTTCGGTTGGAGTCCTGTGAAGCGACTCTGAAGCTCGAAACGCGTCCGAAATTTTGGCCACCTGCACCGGACTTCTGGCCCACTGCGAGCCCGTTGCTGCAGTAGAATGGGTCCGATTTCCAGGCAAGGTCGAGAGGCCACATTGATTTTGTTGAGCTGTTATTAGGGCCTAACCCTCCGTTCCGCATCCAACTTTATAATTTATTTTCTCGCGCAGCCCAAAGGAACAAGACACCATAGAGATCACGAAGAGCCAGTGGCAGCGCAGGGGGGACGGGTCGTTTGACAACACTGTAGGTAAGACACAGGCCACGCCTAGGACCACGCCTAGGGCCACGCTGGACTTAGGACTCAGCCTTGCTCAGATTTGCTCCGCACCGGAAAGTGTGGAGTCGGTGTGAAGTTCTCCAGGTCTGACAGAACACGCCACGCGGTGCCGTGCCCCAAGTGTTCCCCAGCGGAGCAGGACATCCCACACCTCTCCTAGGGTCAATGGTACCCAAGGGTACATCATCACGACTAGGTTTGAATAGGTTCGCTATATGAAAGATGTGATTTTGGCGTCGCAGGGGGCGTGCTGTGCGTGCAGGGAACCGACTACGACAGCTGGGCCGTGGTGTCCGTATGCAGGAGTACGTATAATGTCCTCCCCGTCTTCCCTATGCGGCCCTTCGGCGTGAGAATGCTGGCCTCCGAAGGTAATCACCTGAATGGCATGATGGACTGCTCGTCTCGTTGTGAGCCCCGCTAACGCCTTTTTCCTCCTCTGCAGGCGGCGTCTTCGTGCTGTCCAGGAAGACCGGCCTCACCCCGCAGCAGCAGCTAGAAGCCAACAAGGCCGTGGTCATGGCCGGCATGCCCGTCGCCCACATGCAGGCCACGCCGTCGACGCCCTGCCCCAAGGCCCTGCTGCCCGGCAGTACCGCCAGCGCCGGCAGCACCACCAAGACCCCCGCCGTCCTGCTTCTGTCAGTGCTGGCCGCCGCCTTGGGGCACCTCAGGCCTGCGCAGTAGACAATGAATAAAAACGTGCTGCAAACAAATCTGAAGAGCAAACAACAGAGTATTGAATTTTTTATTTGCCCAAGAAACATGTAAATGCACCAAAATTACCAACGGGGCGTCCATCAATTACTTACGTGAAATGCTGACGTCAAAACACTGCTCGCGTCCACAACTCGGCATCCGTGTACGAAGGTTTGCCGCATAGCAGGGTTTTCGTGACGTCAGCGTCTCACGTAATGTGTAGACGACCCACCACCACGATCACCACAAAAAAAAATCTTGACACCAACCCACCTATGTGTGACACACATTCGCAAACCTGAACTAGAGAATACATTTGATCCGCTGAAAGGAGCATTAAATGTAACTTAGCAAGGAAGTCCCAAAATGATTTTGTTTCGGTCGCAGAGATTGCCATACACAAATAATCTCCCGCTCCAGCTAGTCTCTCTACCGGAGGACCATCCGAACTGCAACTGCAATAGTACGCTTTTATTCCCCTCCCCTCACCGCCCCGCCTACCGCTCCCTCCGAAACGTCGTCAGCCAGCTGTCAGTCAATGCAACCAGAACTGTTTTACAAATTTCGAAAAAAGGTCTCTGCTGATTAGTGCTAACTCATTCTCATACCATACATGTTGTTGAGTAAATAGTTCTGCCTTCCATGCGCTTTTCAGAACCTGGCTGAGTATTTTTCAGTGATGCTCAAACTTTAAGTCAAGTTGAGGTTATAGTAATGTTTACATTTTGAAGAGAAGTGAAATCTAGTTGTCAGAAAACTAGCTTAGTTTTATTACTGACGTCCAATTTCTGAAAAATAGGCAACATTATGTCCTCTCGTTGACTGGTGTTGATAAGTGGTTTCAACAATGGAGGACTCTCTCTCAGTCATCGTTTTTAGTTTGCAGATAAAAGGATTCATTATTGATTTGATAATTATGAACTGTATTATTCTGTTTGTCTTTCAGAATGACAGTGCACAACTTTTACATGTTTGATCGTTATGGTCAGCTATTATTTTATGCAGAGTGGAATCGTCTGCGACAGTCTGGAATCACACGAGAGGAGGTAAGTTCTGGGCTCTATCGGTAAACGGCTGAAAACTATCCTTCTTCCCTGCTGTTCATGCTTTTAAAATTCTTCTTCTTTTTTTTCAGGAAGCAAAGTTAATGTATGGTATGCTTTTCTCAATCAAGTCCTTCGTGTCAAGAATATCACCTCTTGACAGCTCACCTGGTTTGCGAGAGGGTTTTCACTGCTATAGAACGTCCAAATATGCCCTGCATTATCTGGAGACACCAACAGGGCTCAAATTGGTTCTTAATACAGACACTGCAGCTGTCAATGTCCATGAACTTCTTCAACAAATTTATAGCCAAGTAAGTTATGCAAACTTAATTACTGGATTGATAGTCTGCTGGGTCTCATTGTGATCTTAACTTTCCTGTTTCTTTTTTCAACAGGTCTATGTTGAATATGTAGTCAAAAATCCCCTTTGTAATCTTAGTGAGCCAATCAAAAGTGATCTGTTTGAGGCTCAACTGGATTTGTGTGTGAAGCAGTCCCATGTTTTTACATCTAAACCTACTTAAAATGCTAGAGCTACTTCTTGCTGTTGATAATATACATGTGATAAAAATGGCTTGGTAAAAGTAGCAAGGGTAAAGTTAATGAGACTGGGTTGTTATGAATTTTGTTAAGCAAACATTGTGCACTTACATTAATAATTTTACATCTAAATAATATCACCTTTAAGAAATTTTTTGAACATTTTTGGTAGAAGTGGCAATTGTTTGGAGTATTATTATAAATGTATATTCATTCATAAAGTAAAAATTATTGTCTATTAATCAATCACCATATCACATCGGTGGAAAGCAAGCTGTTCTCACAAACATCAGTCAACGAATTTGCAAAGAAGAGGTTTACACAAACCAAAACTTCATAAACTTGGCTTCACAACACCTTGTAGTGAATTTTTCAGCTGGTATCGGGCAGCTTGCAGAAGATTGTGAATTTCTCTGTTCTCTCTTCTCAAGGTCAATACTTCTGAATGCAATTCTCTGAGCCTTGACTGAAACCGAGATGTTATTAGATTCACCTCACTTTTCCATCTGTGCAAACAACAGGAATGAAAGCATAACAATATGCACTGTCCAACTATACTCAGGTAAATTTATAAAATTTACTCTAATTTCATACTTATTTGCCAAGTCCCTTTGTGAATCAAGTTGAGTCTGAAGCTCATTGTACATCCTATGGCTGTCTAGCCATGTATGTTCAGAAACCTTAGAACCAGCTTCATGCAAAAACCTACATTAATGAAAAAAGAAATACAGCATTCTACATTAATGAAAAAAGAAATACAGCATTTTATAAGTCCAACAAGCAGAATTAGAACATAAATATAGTTACAGATTTTTACCTATGGTCAAGACACTGAGTTTGAGTATTGGGCGACAAAGTTGTTTTCATCATTAAAATTTCCTGTTCTTTTTGATGCAGCAAAGCACTAAGACCTTCATTTTTAGCTAAACTTTCAGATATTATTTGAGAGGAATGCTCGACTTCAGACTGCAAAATATTGATTTGTTCCTCTAAAACATGACGATCAAGCAGATGTTGGCGCTGCTGCAGCTCATTACTGTAACATAGAAATGCAGGTTTAATGAGAAAGGTCACACAAACTTCGCATGGTCTGCATTTAGTGCAAAGAAACAGAACCTTTGTGAAAGTTTCATTATTTCTGCTCTAAGCTGCTCCATTTCAAGATCAGCACGTATGGAATCTCCACCAGCAAGCTCCTGCGATCTGAACAGGCCTTCTATCCTGCGATCCAAGGCCGAGAAAGAAGGTCTATCTTTTAAAGCTGTGTCTAATTCACGTTTCGTTCTTTGAAGTTCAGCTTCAGTGGATTGCAAGTCACTCTTCAGCTTTTGAAGCTGCGAATTTTTACTCTTATTTTCTGAGTACAGTCGTCGCATATCCAAAAGTAAATTCTTTATTCTAATATTATACTGTTCTTTGATCTGTTCTGCTTCTGCTTGAACCTCACAACCAGCTTCTTTTATAAGTTCACTTAAAGTGGCCTGTAGCTGTTGAACATCTTCTGCAATTTAGGAAAGAAGAAAAAGGAAGAAAATCAATGAAATCAGTAATGTGCACTGTTGTAAATATAAGATTAACCCTCTATATTTAAATTCCCCTCAGAATCTGCCTATCTGTATAAATGTATATTTGTATTTGCCGCTGTACCATCTTCTCATACTGCACATAATAAGTCATGCACTAATTATCATAGTCACTGCCTGTGTGTAATTGCTTGCACTTGTCACTGTTGCATTTCCAGCTCCAGCAGCAGCCATGTTAAATAAATGCTCACTTCCTGTCCAGACCCCAGAGTGTTCGTGTCGTGTTCTTTTGCTCCCGCTCCTTTATCGTGCATCATCAGCTAAATTCAGACAATAGAACTAAACTCCAAATCATATTACAACATGCACCAAATACAGTATGTAATTCCATTTTATAGACTTTACCAGATGCCTGAGCTGCATCTTTTAGAGCATTGTCTCTATCAATTAGAGCTACATCTACTATTTGTAGAGCTTCATCCACTTTTTCTCGAGCCTCAGCTTCTCTGTTTAAAACATCCTCTAAACGAGCAATACTTCGGTCTAAAGCAGCCTCAAGTTCTGCACAAGCAAGTTTGGCTTCCTCTGAATCTGCCATGGCTGCAGAATAGTTTTTTTCAAGCTCTTCAATCTTCTTTAAAGACAACTGTTTTGCTGCAAAAAGTCACGGAAACAAAATTAATATGTTGTTTTAAGTCGTCATGCAGCACCCATCAAGTGACCGAGCCACACACCAAGAAGGGCCTCATCGACATCTGCACAGCGTTTTGCATAACGTTCACTAAGGAGTTTATGGTCATTTTCCAGCTGTTCCATTTTCCCTTCTACTAATTCTCTTGCCGCCTTTTCCTTGGCTATCCGGGTTGATGCAGCTGCCAATTTTTCTTCCAACAAACTTATTGCTCGAGAATATTCTGCACGAACCTTGCAACATTCATAAAAAAGTAGTAACACATTATTTTTTTTATTTTTTTATTAGTTTAAGTTGCAGTTACAGACCCTTTCACTCACCTCATTTACTTTCTCCACTGCAGAAGTAAGATGAGAATTATCTCTGTAGTCTTTTAATTCGGTTTCCAAGGCAGTGACAAGTTGGAGGGATGTTTGCCACATATCGACCGCAGAATCTCGTTCCTAAATTTATAATTCAAAAATATTTGTTTCAGTCAGTTAAAATACTCTACTTTTATGGATAGATCGAATGAACATACCTGTAATGCAGCATCTAACTGCTGTTTGACATTGCTATTTAGTGCTTTAACATAATTGTCCGAGGAGGAATTCTTTCTAATTTCAGACTGAAGTTGTTCTGATAGGGACTGATTTTCTTCAATAACAGATTCAAGTTTAGCCCTCAAAGTATCTTGTTCATTCTGAAAAATAATAAAAGTTATATATAGAGCTAAGTTGGGGAAGAAAGTAAAGAGTAGAAAAGTACGCCCTTACGGACTTAGAACCACCGTTCGACAAACATGAAAATCTGAGACGAAAACTGCTGTAAACGGATGTCCAGATCCCTAAAAGGCCACAGGGGGATGTACTTTTAAAAGCAGAATTCCCCACCCATACTGTGGGCAACATCAAAAGTTGTGTTGATATTTGTTTTTACAAAAGTTATATGGCACATCTCACCTGACATTGTTTCAATTGCAACTGTATTGCATTGAATAAATCTTCATATTCCTTAAGGATAGGTCTGCAAAAACAAACTTAAATTAATTGTGGTCACATGGAGAATTGGTTTCATTATGAAAAAAGACCCCACATACTCTTCTTTGCCGAGGTCGTCTCCTCCATGACGTTGAGCTTCAGTTCTGATCGGTGTGTCTTGCATCGTAAATCCAATACGAGTTCAAGATACTAAACAAGCTTCAGGTCTACGTCTCGCGCCACCATACTACAACTGTCAATGTTACGTTTGGCAGCAGAATGCATGTTTGTTTACAAATGTCTCCAGCTGAGTTTCAAAGGAACCGGAAACGAATGGGACACAGAGTCCTAACCAGCTTCACCAACACAAGAAAAATGATCGACATTCGGTAAGGCATTAATAAGTATTGCACATAATTTTCAGTAAATTTTTAATGGTTTATGGATGATTTTCTTTGTTTGGAGACTCAAAATACAGTGGATACATCTGAGTATTTGTTTGATTACGGAAAAGCGCAAGGCCGTCTAAGCTTCGCCGTCATGTTGCCTGCATTGCACAAATCATCGCGCGCTTTTTCACCTACAAAGAGACACTGCCAATAGCTCCTTTTAAATTTACCTGATTTACCTATTATATCCACGTCCAAGCGACCATTTTCTATTGATTCAAACATTTAATCGTCTTGTCCAGTCGAAATCATGGGTGTAAGTTTCTGCATGTGGTAATATTTCGTCATTTACAGTGTTGTGAGGACTTCTAACCTGTCTCTCATGACACATAATTTGTATCTTTCGCTTGTATCTTTTTCTTGAGCTGGATCACTTCACACAGCGCTTTCGATAAAGCTTATTTATGCCTATCTACGCTCTCCTCCCGTTACTTGCAGTTGTCAAATAATTTTCTAACTGATATTTATCTATTGTTGTACTGAAACTGTTCTTTTTCTCTGAAATTCTGTCCAGAATAAACAGAAACTTTCTGGCAAAGACCGTCGTGCGGCTGTGCGAGAGGAAAAGAAGAAGGCGCTGGCGTCGAGGGCCCTTGTAGCCAAAGCCAAGGAAAAGGTAGATAAATAGTAATATTGCAGGTCAGTCTGTTTTCAAGATATAGAATGTTGGTCTTAATGTTCCACCATGCTACCTTTTCTTTAGCGGGATCCCCTTGATGAACTATCAATGTCATTGAAGATGAGTCTTGTGGGCTTTGACGCTGTCATCACTAGTTCGCATTGGTGCACTCTGGACAAGGAAACGCAAGAGTGGATTTTGAAGCTGGAGGAGACTAATGTCAAAGAAATGTAACATTTATCCGAATTTCGTATTTCATCTGGCGTTGCGCCACTCACTCATACTGTCATTTGACACTGCCTTGTATTCTGTGTCTAGGTATGAGAAGTCAGACTGGGGCTGGAACGGCAAAGTGAAGCAGGAGGAAATGACCGATGAGGATGCCAGGTATCTGATTGCACGGTCTACTGAAGGAAAGCCTCTAGGGTTTTCTCATTTCAGATTTGATATGGACTTTGATGATGAAGTACTTTACTGGTGAGTTAAATCTTTTCCTACAAGTTCTCGTCAATTTTATTATGCCAGACCAACCAACAATTTTTTCTTTCTTATGCTTTCTTAGTTATGAACTCCAAATTGAAGAGCATGCTCGCAGACGAGGACTAGGATGCTTCATGTTACGAGTGTTGGAGGAACTGACAATTCATTACAATATGAAAAAGACCATGTTAACTGTGTTCAAACATAATCATCCTGGAAGAACGTTTTTCAAGAAAAATGGGTATGTATTGAACAAAAGAACAAACAGGTTCATAGATGACCAGATTTTTATAATAGCCCCTTTTTCAGGTACAAACTTGATGAAACATCGCCTGAAGATGATGATGAAGAGGAAGAGGCATGCTACGAAATTTTGAGTAAATACAATCTGAAATTTGACCCTCCTGTCGTTTGATAAATCCAACAGTTCCTGTACTTGTAAATGATAATTTTCCTGTCAGTGCCTTAATTCAGGATTTACCTCAGGTTTTCTAAATCTTGTAAGTTAGTGTAATGAAATTTGACTCTTCAGGTGGGACGCTAGTATTTATTTATTTAATGTCTTTTTATACTGATCTCCTTGATGGAAAATATTTTTCTGAAAAGCCAAGCTTGTTATGTATTTTGAGCTAAACTTTTACATCTTTGAAATTATGAATCTTTTATAGTGTAAGAATACTACCTATACATAAGTTTTTTTAGCCTCTTTCCAATTTTGTTGTGATTTTAACCATCTTACCCCATTTGTTGGTATGATTGGTGATGAGCAATAATAAATACGTCTGTAGCTGTAGCTTGCACGATGCAGAAAAATTATTGTCCAAAATCTACTTGTAGCTGTAAGAGAAATGATCGTGCTGATAACCCGCATTATTCATTGTTAATCAGAAAATTTCTTTTGTCCATGGAATAACGACAGGCTTGTTCATTCTCTAATATTTTGTATTTGTAACTGTTTGTTTTCAGTGAAATACATGCAAACCAACTGTGCTGACATCTTGATCAACCTTGTTTCCAAAGTCCATTTCTTTCCAAAATTTGGGTCTTGTCTCAATTCCTGCATCAACGTTTAAGGCGGAAGATCACGACCAAGCAAAGCAGACTCGATTCGAAATAATTATGTGCCCCGTTTGAGAAGGTTCTTTAAATCATCAGTGCCCCCGATTCTACAAACTCAGAAGACCAGAGATTTCCCCCAATTTCGCTCCATCTAAATTTGGCGAAATGCCCCCGACGTGGTTATCTGCTGGCACGTGCATCGTAGAGTCCTGGCCTTTAGGACTCTAGTGCATCGCGGTGTGCGGGGCGGACAGGCCGGGACAGTCCCTGCAAAGAGTGCCGACACGGCCCGGCCCGCGCCATGGCGGCCATGGCGGCCCTCGCCCTGCACACACCACTGCTAGGCACGCGTCGTAAATTTGATTCATTGCGGTGCACGGTGCAGTCTGCAGCGAGAGGTACAGTCAAGTCAAAGAGCTCAGCCTGGGCCATCAAGGTGGTCTATCTGTCAACCGTCGCAAAATTCGACGAGGCACAGTGGGCCAGAAGACCGGTGGAGGCGTCCCAAAACTCTAGACGCGTTTTGAGCTCCCAGCGTCGCTAAATGGGTCTCGAACAGAACGTGTGACCCCACCAATGGATTGCTTTCCGAACGAGGAATCCATTGGTGGGGTCACACGCTCGGTTCGAGCCCTGTTTAGCGACTCGGGAGCTCAAAACGCGTCTAGAGTTTTGGCCGCCTCCGCCGGTCTTCTGGCCCACTGTGTGAGGCCTCCCCAAGGGACAGGACCGAGTGAATATTATTGTGAACTCACTACGGTGAGCTCCACACTCGGAATGCGGAGGTGTATGGAATTTGCTGTGCCCAGCCTCACTTCACGTGTGGAGTTGTTCTCCACTTTGCACCATGGCAAGAGATAGGGGCTTTGAGAAACACTCCACACGTCCAAGTGTATGGAACTTACTCCACACCGGGAAGTGAGGAGTTCTCCGCACTGGGTGTGACGTTGCGGGAGATGCTGTCCAGCCTGCCAGCGACCCACCACCACGGCGGGCTGGGCCTCTGGGCGGGCTGGGTCTAGGGCTGGGCTCCCTGAGAGTGGAAATGTGCCGCCTGATAACAGCAGCCCCAGCTCCTGTGCCGGTGGCGGCGTGGCCCCGGTGGCGGCGCCGCGCCAGTGCCGCTCCGCTCGTGGGTGTTTGTTTTGCGGGGACTGTACTCAATATTCATCTCGGCCTGGCGGGCCCTAGGCAGGCCTGGCCAGAGACGTGCGCGCGAATGCCGCCACAGATAAAAGGGAGGGACTCTGTAAGAAACTGGAGGGGCTTGAGCGCGGGGCGGCGCGGGGCGGGGCGACCGCGGCCGGCCAGGGGTGCGATTCCACTGCCTGCGCTTCTCACTGTCTCTCTCCCTCTCATTGGTGTGCCGTAGAGGTGCGAGAGAGACAGAGCGGGCGGACAGTGGAATCGCTCGACAGGGGCGGGTGGAGTCCGCTTGGGGGCGAGCGAGGCGTTCTCGGGGTGGGAAGGCCGCCGGCCACAAGGAACGCCCTGGACGCCGAATGTGGCCCGTTGCGTGGAGACGGGCGTGGGGCGCGGCGGCGGGCGCGGGTGGCGAGGCCCTGTCCCTCGCGAGGCGTAGCGCCGCGTAGCGCCGCGTAGCGCCGTAGCGCCGTACGACCGAGACGAGCGCGGCGGAGGCGGAGGCGTCCCGACCGTCCCGACGCCCCGGCCGGGGTCGCTCCGTCCCGCCCGCCGCCGCCCCTCTCGGCCCGGGCCCCGCGCCCCAGCCCGGCCCGGCCCTCAGCGCGCACGCCGCGCCGGCCGCGAGCGCAGTCAACATGTCGACGGCCACGGCGACGGACGACACCCTGGAGGCGGGGGACGCCGACGTGGACATGTACGTTTTGGAGGGGCCGGAGCGCCCCGCGCCGCCCGACGAGCCCCTCGGTGACGTCATCTTCGCCGCCCTCCGCAGCCACGCCAAGCAGGCCGCCAGGAACGCCCAGGTGTGTCACCGTCTGCCTGTCCCCGGCAGCCCGGCAGCCTCCCGGTGGGGGCAGTCAGAGGATTACTTCCGCGCAGCGCTTCGTCTCTCTGTCCCGCTCGCATGCGTAGCAACCCCCCATGAGTGCGAGACAGACAGAGAGACGAAAGTAACAACGATGTGCCGGGCATCGGCATGGTGTCCATGGTGTCCATGACCTGAGCCCGCACTCCTCGCCCTGTCTCTCTCGCACCCCCGTGGCGCACGCCATGAGTGCGAGAGAGACAGACCAAGGCGTGCGGGCAGCGGACTGCGCGTCCGCGGCGCCGAGCCACGCCCTCTCTGGCCGGCAAGTCGCGAAGGCGCTATCGCGGACGTCGCATGCCGGACTGTCTGGGACTGCCGCGGGCCGTCCTGGCGGGTCCTCAGCACGGCCCCCCCAGGACGGGCCCAGGCTAGCCCAGGCCTGTCCAGCAGAGTGCGACCCGGAATCTGGCATCAAGTGGTTCGCGGCGCTTGGCTCGGCGCTTGGCTCGGCGCTTGGCTCGGCGTTGGCGTCATGCATGTCATGGCAGTCATGTGACGCCGCGAGCAGCTGGTCTGGCCGCGCTGCCGCGCTGCTGTGCTGCTGTCACGGGACGCCCGGCCCGGGCTGACGTCCCCCTCCTTCCTCTGCCCTCCGCCCGCCCCGCCAAAGTCTCTCGACCCTCTTCTGCTGCATTTGAATAACAGAGGCGGACACTGACACACAGCGATTGTGTGCGTGCTTGCACCGCGCACTCGCCCCCTCTTGAAAATGCCACAAATTGCAGAATGCAGAGCGTGCCGTCGTCATAGCGCGCAATAATCCCATTACGATCGCGATAAACTTACATGCCGTTGGACTTTATCTCGATATCAAACGCCCTTCATGACCGGCTCAGGGAGGACGCTGTCACCTTGGCCCGCCTCAGAGTTTAAATTTTTGACTGGTTGATCCGTTGGGAGCTGTATCAGTGATACAAACAAATCCCACTTTGAACCAGTGTCCAAAGGGTTGCCAACTGCAGCCTGCCTTCTAGCCCAGACACAGTCTAGTAGGCAGGCTGAGATTGGCAACCCTTTCGACACCGTGATACCATGGGTACCGGCAGTGGTGGTGTTGTGTACCGTACCGCCTAGTTCCGCCACTAGATTTAGAGTTTGGCAACACTGCCAGAGAGTCGTCTTTTGGTAGCTCTGTCTCCCTCGCACTCATTCGGTACGCCCCGTTGCTGCGCCTTGCTGCGCCTTGCTGTGCAGGTGGACGCGGCGACCGGCGCGGCCATGTCGTTCCACGACCTGCTGGAGGACAGCGTGCGCGTGGCGGAGGGGCTGCGCGCCAAGAAGCTGTGCGCCGGCCACGTGGTGGCCGTCAGCAGCGCGCCCGTCGCCGACCTGTACCCCGCCATCATGGGCGCCGTGTGGCTGGGCCTCACCATCATGCCCACCGACCCCAACGCGTCGGCCAGTGAGTGGACAAACCTGCAAGCATTTTGAGCTTATGTGAGGTACAAACTAGTTCGTAAATTACCAAGTAGTTTCTTTGCAAGCTTGCGTTTTCTCAAAATGGTTTGTTACGACGAGCTACTTTTCCTTTGTTGCACCTAAAATAGTTAGGAAGGTTTCGAGAGGGGAACCACCCTCGTTTCACAAAACAGTTTAAAAAGAATCGATCATCTTCGGCTGGATTTTCCAGAACCAGCGTCTAAACCGTTCGATTGAGAGGGATAGAAAAAGCGAGTTGATTGTACCTTGAACCGAAACCGCCAATCAGCTCGCTTAAGTACGATAGCCCGCTAGCTTGAACGGTTTGGAAGCTGCTAGGACCGAAAATCCCAGTCGGAGGTGACCGATTCGTTTGCAGCGAAGTTTTATCGTCGGCGCTCTGTCTTTCTCGCACTCATTGGCCGTTGCGCGGGCTGCGAGAGTCAGAGCGATGAAATCCGAATCGAAGTGCTGCCGGCGCCGCCCGCCCGGAGCGTAGGCAGGCAAGCCTGCAGTGTGGTGGCGCGGCGTCCGCCCGGAGCGCAGGCAACCCAGCGTGCAGTGGCGTGGCGCGGCACGGCCTACCCCGCGGAACGCAGGCGCTTCTCGTCTCGCCCTCGGCCTTGCTGCAGACTCATTCCGAGCGTCTCTTTCGTCGCTCTGTCCCTCTCGCACCATTTCGGGACGTCCCATGAGTGCGAGAGAGACAGAGCGACGAAAACGACCCTCGGCATCAGTCTGCTGGTCTGACGATGAGTGGCGGGCGTCGCCATGGCGGCCGCGGGGCAGGCTGTTTCCGAGCGACGCGTCTCGTCGGTCTGCCTCTCTCACACCCCTGAGGGGCACCCCACGAGTGCGAGAGAAACCCCCCAGACCGCCCTCTCGGAACCAGCCTGCAGCCACGGCCAAGTGGGGAGCAAGCAAGCAAGTGTTGTCGCCACGAGCAGCACTCCGCAGCAACAAGTGGGAGTCGACGCCCTCGGGAGGGTGCTCCATGCCGCACGCTGCCACACGCCGCACGCCCCGCAGAGACGCAGTCGCAGACGGCCGGGCATACCCCGCGCTGGCCGCGTTGCGGGATGGCGCGGGGTATCGTCGGCAAGGTCGCCCGCGTTGCCGCGCCACTGTCAAACCACACTTCCTCGTGCGGACGTTCTCGCCGTCGCCACACTTCAAGTGTGCAGTAGCTCACAGAGCCCATCTTTGCGTGGTGCAAACGTGGAGAACTCTTTAAGTTTGGAGACTGCAAACTCTGCACTTCGACGTGACCGCAAATTCCATTCCTCCGCGTTGCAAGTGCCGAGTTCCCCACGCTAGGTTTCACAGTGCCGTGCCATTGCTTGCAGGCGAGCTGAAGAGCCAGCTGCAGGTGTGCAAGCCCCGGGCCGTGTTCGCCGAGCCCCGCACGCTGGCCAAGGTGCACGCGGCGCTGCAGGGCGCCCCGCGGCAGGTGCCCGTCATCGTGCTCAACCAGGACGACGTGCCCGCCAAGCTGGTGCGCGCGGGCGACGTGGCGTACGAGGACTTGCTCCAGGCCGTGCCCACCGCCACCGCGGACCTGTTCACGCCACCCGTCATCGCGCGCCTCGACGACCACGTGCCCTTCATCCTGGGCGGCCTGGGCGCGGCCGGTGAGCGCCCCACACTGCCCAGGCTGGCCACGGCGGAGGCGGCCAAAACTCTAGACGCGTTTTGAGCTCCAGAGTTGGTAAACCGGACTCGAGCCGAACGTGTGACCCCACCAATGGATTCCTCGTTCGGAGAGCAACCCATTAGTGGGGTCACACGTTCGGTTCGAGTCCTATTTAGCGACTCTGAGATTTTGACTGCCTCCATCGTTCTTCTGGCGCACTGGGAGTTCCTCCCTGCGGCATTGCCTCTGGGCTCTGGATCCGCCAGTGGATGGGAATGAGTCACACCTTTCCGTGCTGCCCTGCAGGCCAGCCGCGCTGCGCCATGCTGTCCAACAAGCGCGCCTTCGTGCTGCTGGACCAGTTCCGCGAGCCGCTGCCGGACGCGCCCGGCGTGTCGTTCATGGCGTCGCGGCCGCTGTCCTGCCTGGCGGGGGTGTTCTCGCTGCTGCGCTGCTGCTGGGCCGGCCACACCGTGGTCAGCCTCAACGACCAGGAGGGGCCCGTTCTGGGGCTGCTGGCCGCCCTGGAGAAGAACGGCGTGTCGCACTGGCTGGCGCAGCCCGCCCTGGTGCGCGCCGTCGCGGAGCACGCGTCGCTGGCCAAGTTCAACCTCAAGGCGCTGACGGCCGTGCTGCTGGACGGCGACGCCCTGCCCGCCGACCTGCACGTGCGCGCGCAGCAGGCCCTGGCCGTGCGCCTGCAGGCGCTGTACTGCGTGCCCGAGGCCGGCATGCTGCTGTTCAACCGCGACGCCAAGCCCGGCTCCGTGGGCAGGGTGTGCCCCGGCACCAAGCTCAAGGTGGGCGTCGGCGCTGCTCTGTGGGTCAGAAGACCGGTGGCGGAGGCACAAACTCTAGACGCGTTTTGAGCTCCAGAGTCGCTAAATGGGACTCAAACAGAGCGTGTGACCCCACCAATGGATTACTCTCCGAACAATGACCTTTGGTGGGGCCACACGTTCGGTTTGAGCCACATTCAGTGGCTTTGAAGCTCAAAAAGCCACTAGAGTTTTCGCCTCCTCTAACGGTCTTCTGGCCCACTGTCACTGTCAAAGTGTGGAGAACTCCGCATGGTTTCACAGTGTGGGAGAGAGACAGCGTCCTCGGCGCCGCCTTCCTACACCGCGCCCCTGTTCCAGATCGTGGACACCATCTCGGAGGAGGACCTGGAGGCCAAGGAGTGCGGCGAGCTGCGCTCCAAGAGCGCCACCTTCCTCAAGGGCTACGTCGGCGACCCCGAGGCCACGGCCGCCCTCTTCGACGAGCGCGGCTGGTTCTGCACGGGTGACGTCATGCGCTACGACGAGGAGGGCTACTTCTACTTCATGGAGAAGCTCAGCGAGAGCATCCAGTGCGCAGGCACCGCGGTGAGTCCCGGTGCCACAGCGGGTTTGCCACAGGACCAGAGCTCTAGCCGGCTCCACCGGCCTTCTGGCCCACTGTGGGCTGCCTCTCTTGACTGCACTAGTGCACGGCCGGCTTGTGAGTGCGAGAGAGACAGAGAGACTTGGCTGCGCAGGTGCCCGCCAAGGAGCTGGAGGACGTGATCCGGACGCACGCCGCGGTGCGCGACGTGGCGGTGCTGGGCCGCCCCGACTCGGAGGCCGGCGAGGTGCCCATGGCCTTCGTGGTGCTGGAGCCCGGCGTGGTCGCCACCAAGCAGGAGATCGTCCAGCTCGTCAAGGGTGGGTGCTGCAAACCTCCGCTCAGTGGATTCGCCAGAAGACCCGGTGGCGGCGGCCGAAACTCTGGACGCGTTTTGAGCTCTGGAGTCGCTAGACAGGACTCGAACCGAGCGTGTGACCCCGCCGAATGGATTCCTCGTTCGGGGAGCAAATCCATCGATCGGTGGGGTCACACGTTCGGTTCGAGTCCTGTGTAGCGACTCCAGAGCTCAAAACGCGTCCAGAGTTTCGGCCGCCGTCACCGGCCTTGTGGTGAATCCACTGTAATGTTCCGGCCGTCCTTCCGGCGGCCCCCCGTCGCGTCACGTGGTCACGCCGCCGTCGCGTTGCAGACAAGCTCCCCGCCAACAAGCAGCTCCGCGGCGGCGTCGAGTTCCTGGACGCGCTGCCCCGCACCACTTCCGGCAAGCTCTCCGGCCGCCAGCTCCGGGACCGGATGCCGCGCCGGTCCGTCGTCGGAAGCGCCTTCTCGTAGAGCCTCGTCCCCTACCACGAGAGCAAAACAACAAAAACATCATCAACAATAACAACAAAACAACAAAATGTGCCTGTTTGTCTTCCAGGCTCATGGTAACTGGCGCTCGGATTATTTTCATTGCGTTCAAGTTTGCGAGACTTGTCGGCAAAGAGGCCCGGCCGGCGTGTCGGCTGCTGCCGAGCGGTCCAGAAGGGTCGACGTTCCGTCGCTCTGTCTCTGTCGCACTCGCGGGGCTCTCCGTGAGGGTGCGAGAGGGACAGAGCGACGAACCGATGTTGCTCTGAATCGCTCGCCTGTTGGATGGCCGGGCCGGCCGGGCCGGCGAGGAGACCAACTCCTGCACTGTGTGAACGCATTCGGCTGCCGCTGTTTAGAACTGGTTGGTTGAATTAAACCTTTCTTCATCCACCTTGTTTCTCTTGTCGAGAGGGAGCCGAAACCCGCGCGAGGAAGAGAGGACGGGGAGGGTGGAGGGGAAGGGGGAGGTGGAGGTGGGGTGGCGGAAGGGGAGATGGTAAGTGTTGAAGCCCCCTTCAATTCATTTCGCGGCCCGCGGCCCGCAGGCCTGCCTGCTAGCTCCTCTGCCGCTAAATGTCAACAATCCAATCTGGCTGATATTTCACGGAAAAAAAGGTATATAAAGACAACGGGTGAGCGTTTTAATAAGGTCAAATTGGCGGCATACTTTAGTGTTGCTGCACACGGTGGGCGCTGCCGTGACAGAACAGTGTGGTGGCGCACAATGTCCCACTCTGTAAAAATTTTCGTACTTTTTGTGCGGAAAATGTACTGAAGAATAATGCAGTTACAGAGGCATGGAGAAAAGTGCGGAACGTCCCGTGAGGGTAGGTTGGGGGAGAAAGCACAGGGTTCGAACTACGGAAGTACGGACGATCCAGACAAATTGTTGACCAGACAAGTTCCGTACTTTCTCCAGACTTTTTTCTCTCAGTGGGAAGTACCGTCATCCATCGGGGGTGGCTTTGGCTTTGGACAACGGGGGTAGTTTGGAACAGGTAGTCTTACCGGCCTACGTGGAAATCTAAGTACACCACACGTGTCCGAAGTCGCCTCAAGCCGCGGCACTTAGAGTTCCATGCAAGCGGCCGACAGGACTGCCTGTCCCAAATCAACGCCAGAGCCCGGAGTTACCCCCGTAGACGTTAATGCGGTGAAAAAAAAAAAGGTTTACGACCGAGCGGCTTTTATTCACCTAACAAATTGGGAGTGGCGGCCGGTGTCGGTGGCGTCGGTCGTTTGTCTGCATGTGATGGTCCGCTGGTCCGATCGCTGGCGGGCTTGCTGGCGGGGCTGCGAGGTGAGCCGTAATGATAAACACCTCACGCAGCCTCGTTCCGAGGGTCGTTTTCGTCGCTCTGTCTCTCTCGCACTCGTGGGCCGTGCCGGACAAGTGCGAGGGAGACAGCCTCGACATGAAAATGACTCTCGCTGCCCGACAGCGAAGCGGGATTGAATAAATCAGGCAGGCCGTGACGGGGCGGATCGCCGCTGTCGCTCTGTCTCGCTCGCACTGCAACGCCACGCCCGCCAAATGAGTGCGAGAGAGAGAGGGGGGAGCCGGTAGGGGGTACCTTACCGTAAACTCGGGTAACCTGAGACAACTTTGGAGTAATCAGTAACGAGTGAGGAGTGAGTAATGAGAGTGTTTCAAGTATCACCATCATTGTCTCAATTTAAAATTTGCCCTAGTTTACGGTGCTCTAAAGCGGACACACGTAACCCACATGACAGGACACCACAGAATCGGGCCGCGCTCCAACCGTTGTCATCCCCGCCCTATGCATGCCCTCAATCCCACACTCCTGCACATCGATTCCGGAGACTCATTACATCGCTCGCTCGGTCACTCGGTCGCTCTCTCTCTCTCTCTCTCTCTCTCTCTCTCTCTCTCTCTCTCTCCGCTCTCTCAGTTTCTTTGCCTTCTTTGCTCTCTGTTCTGCTTCTGTCTTTCTTCTCTCTCTCTCTCTCAGTCCTCTAATCTCTCTCTCGCTTCTCTCTCGTCTTCTCTTTCTCTCTCTCCTCCTTGTCTTCTTCTCTCCCCTGTCTTCTCCTCTCTTCTCTCCTCTCTCTCTCTCTCTCTCTCTCTCGAACACAGCCGCAGGGAAGCCCCGCTTGAGTGAGTGAGACGGAGACAGCGATGGCACCACACTCCGCCGCCCACGGCCGCTCTGCTCGGCTCTGCCGGTCAATATTTGCCGATCGCACAGAGTGGCGGCTAATTACTGCGCTGCTCGGAACGCCAGCGAATGCCGGCGAACGCCGCGAATGCCCGTCCAATGCCGGCCACGCTAATGACGATGCTTTCACTAATCACGCCGATAATGAACGCACTGGGCGCGCGTCTGCGCCCCGCCGCTCACAAGTGCGGGCCAGTGGATCGGCGGAGGCCGGCCCAAATCCCGGACGGGTTTCGAGCTCCAGAGTCGCTCAATGGGACGGCATCCGAACCGAACGGTAATTCCTGTCGGAATGAGCAATCATCCATTGGTGTGGTCAACCGTTCGGTTCGAGTCCTCTGTTGTTTAGCGACTCTGGAAATTAAAACGCGTCTAGGGTTTTGGTCGCCAGCACCGGTCTTCTAGCCCACTGTGCCCGCCCGCGGACGCATGCCAGACCAGCGCTGCACCGCTGCAAGATCTAAAAGTGCAATTTGTGCACGCCCATACAGGAGTATGATTGGGCAACAGTATACATCTGTAGGTGAGCAAGTACTCACCCGCATAGTAGATGTGTGCTTGGCAAGTACAGTCCTGCAGATGTGCACCAAATGAACACAAGCTGATTTTCTAGTGTAAATGAGTGGTAATTTAAACGCCTTTTCGTTGTTTTGGGATGCAGACTGTAGCTAATCCTCTTATTCTTCTATCGTCTGCCGAGATTTATTCCCTGTCTAGAGCGTGACGCGCTGTGTGCGTGTGTCGATGACAGGGTGGATCTTCGCCTTCCCACGCGTGGCCCCGAGTCGCGGCGTGGCCATGGCTTCGCGCTTCGCGGCACGTGGAGCACGCGACAGACATGCCGCGCACGCCGAGGCGCACACCACCTCGCCATCCTCTCCTTCCCATTTTCCGCAGGACTCGCCACTCGGCAGCAGAAGATTGTGCGACACAAAAAAAATTCATCACACCATTTTGATGAGCGCACAAAAAAAAAATGCAACGAAATTTGCATGCGCTCAAAGTGCGGTCTGTATCGTACGAAAGGGAATGCAGAGCGTCGTCTGCTGTGAAGAAGGGCGTGCCAAGCGGACTTTTCAAATCTCGAATCGAATGCTATGGGAAGTTTCTCCTGATCGAATCTATTGGAGACATTTATGTCTAAAAAGTTGGAGGGTTCAATTGAGCACTTTATCGACGTTTTATGGTGCGAAAAAACTTTGATTCGGAATTTTTTCACTGATGGCTCTAGAGTCGGCTCTTATGGCTCTAGAGCTAGCTCTAACGGTTCTAGAGCTGGTTCTAACGCCTATAACGGCTCTAGAGCCGGCTCTCACGGCTCCAAGGGCTCTAGAGCTGGCTCTAACGGCTCTAGAGCTGGCTCTAACGGCTCTAGAGCTGGCTCTAACGGCTCTAGAGCTGGCTCTAACGGCTCTAGAGCTGGCTCTAACGGCTCTTACGGCTCGTTTTGATTTTGAATTGAATTGAATGTGCCCTGATTCGATTCGATTTCGAAGCATTCGCACCCACTGTGGCACTGCCCGCGCTGCCCGCTGCGCTGCTCCACGACCCTTTTGTCTACCCCCGGACGTGCGTGGGTTGTCCGGTTGTCCACAGCGGTCCACAGCCCAGGAAGCAAGGGGCAAAGCAGAAAATAGCGAAAGGCCAAGGCCAAGCAAGGCGATAGCGGAGCACGAGGGGTGGACGTTTGGATGGGCGACGCGCGGCAGAGCGGCAGAGCGGCGGTACAATGCAAATGCAGTGGCCGCGGACCACCGCCCAGCGCTCGTTTTGATTTGTGTGTGACTTTGGGGCGCCAAACTAGGCACAGCTTGCACACACTCACACACACACACACACACACACACAAACATACACACACACACACACACAAAATCACGCCACGCATTATCAGCGGGGCACGCTGTGGAGCTATGGCTAATGTATGTAAAGTCCAAACAACACTACGCGCGCGGGAGTAGAGTCGCATCCCCCCTCCCCTCTCCCTCCCTTTCCAGCCCCTCCCCTCCCCACCCCTCCCCCGCCTCTCGGCCTGGCTTGGCTAGGCTTGGCCGCCGGGCGCGCGGGTGTGAATCTCTTGGCCGTTTTATGATTGGCTCTTTCCCACAGATCGCCGCCGCAGCGCCACAGATAACGCAACGCGCCACCCCTCCCCTCCCTTCCCCTCCCCTCCCCTACCTTCCCCTCCCCTCCCTTCCCCTCCCCTCCCCTCCCTTCCCCTCCCCTCCTCCGCCGAGGGGATGGCCCGCCACGGCGTGGGCAGCGCGCCCTCACGGCGGCACGCCGCGCCACGGCAGCGAGGGGTTATTAATCCCGGACAACCCCGTCCACGGCCGGCTTCAAGGTTTGGCACGCGCGCACAATACAAATAAATTCGTTCCGGTCCGAAGTATAAAACGACCCAGTCCCCAAGAAGACAGACCGTAGAACGCAAGAGAGGGAAAAGTACGGAACAAGTCAGGAACACGTCTGGGAAACCATTTTCCTGGACTTACCAAACCTGCCAACTATGAAACTTCCGCGCACTTTTTTCGACACCCGCGGTTCCCGCTATTCTTCTGTATGTTCTGAACCCAAGGACGGAAGTTTGTACAGTGGACTTGTGACGATCACAGAGCAATTCGACACCGTCGCATTTGTAACTCTGTCTCTGTCTGTCTGCCTGTCTGTCTGTGTATGTCTCTCTCTCTCACTCCTCCATATCATCCCGTGAGTGTGAGAGAGACAGGCGACGATATGTTCGGAAAGCCTGGCAGCTATAATCCCGCCAATATTCCTCTTCGGCCGACTTGCCCGGAGTCATCCATCAGTGCTCGAGCCGTGTCTCGCCCCGAGGCGGCACGCCAACATGCCCTCGTCGCTCCGCCTCTCTCGCACTCACGGGACTGCACGAGGGGTGCGAGCGAGACAGAGCGACCGAGTTCGGAATCAGTCCGTCATAGCTGAATGGCAACATGCCGCCATAATATTAATTCCGATATAATAATTAAATCCGTGTCGCGCCGAGTCTCCTTTCGCCTCGCCAGCCACCCACACTGCAGGCGACACCGGCCGCCTCCTCCAGGCTCTGCAGTCTCCAGCTAGGCGCGGCTCCGGCTCCCTAGTCTCTGCAGGCTCCCCAGGCTCTCCAGGCTCTCCAGGCTCTCCAGGCTCTCCAGGCTCTCCAGGCTCTCCAGGCTCTCCAGGCTCTCCAGGCTCTCCAGGCTCTCCAGGCTCTCCAGGCTCTCCAGGCTCTCCAGGCTCTCCAGGCTCTCCAGGCTCTCCAGGCTCTCCAGGCTCTCAGGGCTCTCCAGACTCTCCAGGCTCTCGGGCTCCGGGACGGCGACGGTGGTGGTGCCCCAGGTGCTGCGACGCTGGAACACGAAGATGAAGATAGACGTCAGTGTGACAGTAACAACAATGTCACGAATTTGGACGTAACCCAATTAGACGGCTAGACGGCTGCAGGCACCGATCCAGGCTGGGATGGGGTAGTGGTGGTGAGAGAGAATGAGAGGGAGAGAGAGAGAGAGAGAGAGAGAGAGAGAGAGAGAGAGAGTCTACTCCAGCAGAACTACTCAACCAGTGAAGGGGGGACAGAATGAAAAAATACAACTTAATTTTCCTTTGCTCCGCAATCACCCTAACAGCGTCAGAAAAATGCTCTTCGGCGGACGGCTTTGACACCGAAAGTTAAAAGACTATTTGCCCAGATTGAACACGCAAGTAAAAATCAGCGTCAAAGTAACCATCCGACATGACGACCTATTGCGCTTTTCGGAACCAAGCCGTAAAACTCTCTGCACTGTCCAAACCAAGTGTGGTACTCGAGTTCACGCAGCCCCTGCCTTTTGGCACGGCCGGAGCTCGTCGAAAACCACAAAACTGGCCGGTGACCAAAGGTGGCGCCCTGATATGTGGACGAGTGCAAGACTAAGAACTCATCCGCGGCCACCCTTTGTCATTTTTAACGAGCTCAGGGCGTGCTCTCCACATTTCAAGAGCGGAGCAGCTCTCCACACTTTGGTTTCACAGTGTCCCGACCGCAGTGCAGCGCCTAGTTGAGTGGAAGACACTGATGCCCCGCCGGCCGTGAGAAGGCCGCGCGGCGCGGCGCGCTCCCAGTCCCCCCTTGTCCGTCCCTGCAGGTCCCTGTCAGTCCCTGTCGCTCGCGCGATCTCACGCTGCTCGCGTGTTAATCGAATTATGCAAGTCATTATGATAATACCGATGCCGCCCGTCGAAGCGCCCTGCACTGCACTGGAGTGATTCCATATCTAGGGAGCACAAGATTTTTATTTTTTTGGTGTCACCGGTCTGGACCAAAATTTTACCACATGTAAGTACCCCTAGGGTAGAGAAAGATGCCCACAAATTTTGAAGGTCCTAGGTCGACCAAGTCCGGAGCAGTGGGCCATAGTGTGTTTTGCGACTTTTTGGTAAAAGTCGACTTTAAAGGCACGAATCGATGGGAAGGGCTTGACCTAGGGACTTGAAAATTTTACCAGGTCTTAGGGGGCATAAGGACGACATTTTAGAAATTTTTTAAGAATTATGAAAAACTTTTACTTTTTGAAGAAAGTTGAACATATTTTTGAAAAAAAAAAATGAAAAAATTGAGAAAGTACGTACTTTTCCTTGGTTCTAGTAACTGTACAAAATTTCAGCCTGGGCACAGTTGGTTTGGGAGCTATGGAAGAAAGCGTAAATTTCACTCCATAGTCTGAAGGACTTTAGCGGAGAAATGACTCATTTGTAGCCTGGGTATATAAGAATGGGATAAGCTATGATCCTAAGTAGTCTGATGAGTATCTTCTACTTCCTTACTTGTGTTTTGAGTGTTTTCAGCCTATCAGGATTAGGATTCGAAGAGCCAAATCAGGGGCAAATTAGAGACACGGTTTGATTACGATTCCACCTGTGAAATGAACTTACAATGACTCCCTCCACCGTGCCCTGTCCGTACATAGTAATCGGGTCAGTCTGTCTGGCTGGGACACTGCCCGCCTCCCACCTGTGCTGTGAGTTCCAGACGAGGCAGCGGTCGCATTTCAGAGGCCCTTATGTATTACCCATAAACGGAGTGTCCGGCGAGGTGTCCGAGGAGGCGGCACGCTGTGTTGCAGCGCTCGACACCGAGCGGACAGGGGAGGAGGCCTCCGCGCCGAGGGGAGGATGAGGAAGGGGGGGGGGGGGGAGAGACGGCCTCGCTCGCGGAAAGGGTAGGGGAGCGGACGCTAAGCGAATCAGCCGGTGGAATACTTGGGTCAATAGGCCCAATCATCGCGAGCAGCCACGCTCTGTCTCTCTCGCGCCCGCATGGAAGTCACATTCCCGTCAGCGTGAGAGAGAGATAGATAGAGAGAGAGAGAGAGAGAGAGAGAGAGAGAGAGAGAGAGAGAGAGAGAGAGAGAGAGGCGATGCAGTCCGCGGAGTCGTTATTTATGTCGCCCGCTTTTCCCTTTCTTCGCGTCCCGGCTTCGCGTCCCGGCTTCGCGTCCCGGCTTCCTGCCTTCCTCGTTAGCCGCCTTCATGACCAGCGCCGCCGACGACACGGCCGCTGCTCTGTCTCTCTCGCTCCGCCGCGGAACGCCCCGCGAGTGCGAGAGAGACAGAGTGGCTGCAAAATAGCGCAATCATAGTCCGCGGCGCGGTGGGGCTGTGCCGGCTGTGCCGGGGCTGTGCCGCGTCCCGCGTGGCAGCAGACTGACTTCGAGCTGTTGTTTTGGTCGCTCTGCCTCTCTCGCACTCATGGGGCGTCCCGCATAGGTGCGAGCCAGACAGCATGTAGGCGGGTCTCGGAATCAGCCCGCTGTCGGCCGCGACAAGGAAGCCTCACAAGTTGAAGGTTTCGCCGTTATCGTCTCTGTGTTGGGAGACTCGCATCAGCGGTGCATGGCACCTCGGTAGCCGTCTGAAAGGTACCGTACTTTGCACCCCGTACCCGTACCAGGCAACAAGATTGGGCTCACCCTTCCATAGGGAACCTAGCTCAAAACGCGTCCGGAGTTTTGTTGGTCCATCTCCACCCACCGGTCTCCTCGGGTCTCCTGGCCCACTGTGCGCCATTCGCCACCGCTCTCGACGGGACTCGAACCTCGGTCCTTCCGCTCCCGGTGGGACGCTGGCTGACGGGCACAGCCGATTACGCCGCGTTAATTACCAGACCGGGGCTCTTGGCTCTCCTGAGCCAGCGAAGCCAGCGACGAGCAGTCGGTCCGACGAGTCGATCCGCCCCATCGAGAGCCCCACGCACCGCGCCAAGCACCGCGCCACGATGGGCTGGAACTGCGCAGCGGCTGCACTGGAGCACGACGAGGATCACGGAGAATTAAGAGAGAGAGAGAGAGAGAGAGAGAGAGCGAGAGAGAGAGAGAGAGAGAGAGAGAGAGAGAGAAAGAGAGAGAGAGAGAGAGAGAGAGAGAGAGAGAGAGAGAGAGAGAGAGAGAGAGAGAGAGAGAGAGAGAGAGAGAGAGAGAGAGAGAGAGAGAGAGATACGCATTCGACGACAGCTCTTTGCCGGTGGTACTGTTATTCACCGTGGTGTCACATTCGTTAGAATGTCTGTCACGTCTGTCGTTGTTTGCAGATGGTCGTGACACGGCCGTCACATTAGGGAGTCACATTCGTTGAATATCAGTGGGAAAGCATCCGCTCTGAAAGCTTGTTGCCTGCCTGAATGACGCGTTGAGAATTGGTTCGGACGTACTCTGCTAGTCCCGCCTCCCGCTGTCCCAGCCATCATGGCTCTGTTCATTGCGAAAACGGTTGCCGTTTTTGCCAGGGACGCCCTGGAAATCGCTCCTGTCGTAGGCTAGTACCTGGGAGAACCAGGAACCCCTTTCCCGTGCTCCCTCCGAGCGCTTCCCTTTCAGCACGTCTTCCAGTGTGGATGAGTGAAGGTTGAATGAACCGCTCCGCTCCGCTTTTGCTTAGCACTCCAGCGAGGATGGTCCGTCATGCGCCGGCCTGCGCTGCGCTCCGCTACCCTTCCAGCCGCGCGCACCGCGGCCGCCGCGGCCACCCCGACGCCGCGGCGCACCCCTGCCGGCGGCGGGGATGGAGCACCCCCACCCCCGACGGCCGCCTCGCCCCGCCCCGCCCCGCCGCGCCGCCGCCGCCGAGTCAGTCGTGGTGTGGTGGTCGCGGGGTGCGGTGCAGCGTGTGAGCCGTCGTCGCCCCGCAGGCCCGCCGCGCGGCGTCGTCCTCGTCGTCGTCGTCGTGGTCGCGCTCCCCGCCGGGCTCCCCGCCGGCTTGCCGCCCTTTGGCCGCCCCTCTCGGCGACCTTTCGAGCTCGCCGCTGGACACCGAGGCGCCGGTCGAGCACCGCCCGTCGGCCGCAGCCCTGGCCCCGCCCCGCAGCGACGCGCACCTCCGCGCACCGCCAGGTGAGACGCAGCCCCGGGAGGGCCGGCAGCAGACTCATTCCGTCCGGGGGTCGTTTTCGCCGCTCTGTCTCCGTCGCACTCGCGGGGCGTCCTCTGTACGGGCGCGAGTGCGACAGAGCAACGGAAACGACTCTCGGCATCGTCTGCAGGTGGAGAGGGGGTCGCGCGGTCGCAATTAGAGCGTCCTGGCGGCGCTCCGCGCTCCCAGGCAGGCCGAGGCCGGGCCGCGTAATCAGCGCCCTTGTTCGCCGAAAAACGAGTGCCGCCAGCCAACAGCCAGCCACGTAACTGCCATCGTGAGTCGCCCACGACTCCGTAACCAGCTGGTGCTGCTGCGTTGAAGGGCTCGAGGGGCATCGGGGTGCTGGACAAAGCGCAACCGCTGCCCGCCGGTGACCGGGTCTCCGTCGAGGAGCCCGTCGAGGAGCCCGTCGAGGGTCCCGTCGAGGACGCCGCCGGGGGAATTACGGTGGTGGTGGCCGGCCTGTCAAGGTGCGCTCTCGCAAGGCGGACTTGCGCCGCCGAGCCGCCACGGCTGCCAACGTGATGTCATGATACCGTGCGGCCGCCCCGGGCCGCCCCGCCCGAGCCGTCAGCTTGCATGTGAAGATGGCGCCAGCCTTGTTAATGAGAAGTGTGCGCACCCCGCCCGAGCAGCCAGGCCGCCACGCCGGGCCGCCTCCCCCACTGATAGGGGCCCGCGCGGCGGGCAGCCCCGGCTGGCAACAACCCCAGCGCCACGCTGCCACGCTTCCACGCACGCGGCCAGGCCGACGGCCATTAAGGCTGGATTGCTCCGTTTTAAATGCCGAGATCCTTTTATGCTGAAACTCATTCCCGCGGCCGGCCGAGGCCGCCCCGCCAGGCCGCCAGCCCCGGCATTATCATTTCCGTCGCAATAATTCCCTTTTCATTATCTTTGTCCGCGCCGAGGCCGTGTCACCGAGACCCGTGTTCGCCGAGGCCGTGATCGCGGAGGCCGTGATCGGCGAGGACGTGATCGCGGAGGTGTCGTGTCCCGCGGAGGTCCAGTTCACTAAGGTTTTGTTTGCTGAGGCCGTGATTGTGAAGTTCACGATCACCAAGGCCGTCGTGAACGCCGAGGCCGTGAACGCCGAGGCCGTGAACGCCGAGGCTGTGTTCACTTCGGCCTTATCCACGGAGGCCGTGATCTTCGAGAAGTGTTTGCCGAGGCCGTAATCTCCGAGGCCGTGTTCACGGAGGCCTCCACGGAGGCCAATCAAGGGCACCGTGTTGCCTGCCCAGTGGTGTCCAGCCGTGTCCGCCGAGTCCACGTCACCGCGTCGCGGCTCGGGCTTCCCCATCCGGGTCACACAAGTCTCGTGGTGTCAGTGCGCGGCTCGGCTGACAGGGAAGGCCAGGTGTCGGCGTGCACGGTACATGCATTAAGGGAGTCCTCGACCGCTCTCCGCGCGGCGGCAGCGCGGCAGCCCGAACGCCAGCAGACCGATTCCGAGAGTCGCTTATTTCACCGCTCTGTCTCCCTCGCACTCATGGTGAGTTCCCTACAGACGCGAAAGAGACAGCGCGACGAAAACGACTCTCGGAATCGGTCTGCTGCGAGAGGGACAAGGAAGGAAGGGCCACCCTGCACGTTAATGAGAGTCTGCGCCGCGGCACAACGCCACCCCAACTGCTTAATTGGCACGGCACTGCTGGCTGATTCCGAACACTGCGTCGTCGCGCTGTCTCTCTCGCACCCTGTGGGGATGCAGCGCGCGTGCGAGAGAGACAGCCGTGCGGGGCGGGGCGGGGCGGCCGGGCCCGGACGCGCGCTTCGCTTGGCCTGGCTTGGCCCGGCTTGGCCACGCACCCCGTGCGCCGCACTACGCGGACTCGGCGCGATCTGATTCCAAGCGGTGCTGTCTGTCTCTCTCGCACTCGTGTGGCGTCGCGGAGGGGTGCGACAGAGACAGAGCGACTGGTCGGAACGGAGACAATGTGGCGCTGGGATTACGGAATAATAATAAAAAGCGGTGGCGCGGCGGGGTCGGCCAGCGCTGCACCCTTGGCGCCACTCACAGTGCAGCAACGCGGCGACGCACGGCAACGCGATGCTCCCCGTTTTTAATTAGCAACAGGGCCGCCCTTCGCTCGTGTTCCAAAAGGAGCGCATTCCGTCACTCTGTCCTCGTCGCTCTCATGGCGTGCCCCGCCGCGGTGCGAGAGAGACAGAGCGACGAGCACCTACCTGCTGCGCGGTGCTGCGCCGTGCTGCGCCGTGCCGCGCCGTGCCGCGCCCCCGGCGAGACCGCGCGCGTTTTCGGTCGCTGGGCGCCATGGGCGCAGTCTCCCGGAAACTTGCAGGAACTCTGCTGCCATTTTTTTTTTGCGTTCTTTTGCAGCTCGTCCACATTTTAAACGAAGCAAACGAGGAAAACTCGACACACCGACCAGCAGACGATGCCCTTGCATTATTCAGGGCATTTGAACGCGCATCAAATGTCGCGGACATTGCATTTCAGATCGCGAGCGCGGCGAGCGCGGACGTCGATACTTGACGAGTCCCCATTCTGTTGCCCGGGGTAGGGGCGGGCCGGGAAAGAAAAGTACAGGGTATACCTTGTACTTTTCTTATGAGAAAAGTACACCCTGTTGGGGCTGGTATATCGAGTGTGAGCCATCCCTCGACCAATTATTTCAACTAAAAATGAAAATCAGAGTGTGAAATCCCTGTCAAATGGATGTCGAGGTGCCTGCAGTAGGCCAGTTGGGATACTTTTCTCGCCCCTGTACTTTTCTTCCCCAACTTACCCCGAAAAGCACCGACAACTCTACCTTTGTGGTGCGCTGAAGGAGGGAAGACTGACCGCGTTTCCCGGTTTGGACAATTCAATGCCCACCACGCGTGTGGAGCACGCGCCGCGTGTGGTTTCTCGATCGTTTGTTCGTTTGCGTTGCGACTCGGCTAGAAGCTCCCCCTGCCCCGCGTTCCTTTCGCCTGGGTTGGCATTCGCCCTCATTTTACTCCGTCAAACACACAGCCCCTTTGTGGAATTCAGCTCGCTCTTTGCACTGGCAGTCATTTTTTTGCATAAACCCCAAGTTTGCGGTTCCCACGATTTATCGCTTCTGGGGTACAATAATTGAGCTATTGCAATACTATTTTCTCGCAACCACCCCTTTACTATTAGCAAAAAAAAAAGGATCTAACCAAATTATACTTGCATTTCAAAATTTTTATTGAAAAATAATTTGCATTTAAAGTATTTGCATTTTCAAAACGTAGCAACAAATTTTGAACTGAAAAAAATAGCTAATTATGTATAGTAGTTAGAATGACTGTGTAGTTTTTTCCCCTTTCGGCGGCGGAAGGGAAAAGGGATAAAGGTGTTTGTCGTGCGTGTAGGTGTGTGTGAGTGTGTGTGTGTGAGTGTGGGTGTTTTTGATTGGATACAGACACCGCCCCCAATTTCTCATAATCTCATCAAATGTATGTACTGTTACCAACTGTGACGTAAACGCGGAAACTGGGACAGTCGGCCCGCACTGGCATCGCCCTTTTTTGTTGTGTCTGATAGATAGGCTGTCGATGGAACATTCAAACAGCCTGGCTGCTGGTTGCCCTGCATGCCGGCCGTTCCATCATTATTTTAATCCCTAAGTGGCGTGGCGTGGCACGGCGTGGCGTGGCGTGGCCGGTTTGTCGTGCCCGAAGCGCAGGACGCAAATAGCGTTGCCTGCGGAGCCGATCCGAGACAAACACTCGATGCGTCGCTCCGTTTGAGTCACACACGCCATACGTCGACAGTCGAGTGTGCCTGCTTCGGAAAGGATCGGAAAGGAAAAGAACATCAGCCCACACTGTGGCAAAAAGGTACGGAAAATCCTGTTAATTTTTTTGCCAGGATTCTCCGTAGCCCTCTTATCAATATTCTCCGTAGGCTCTTACAGTATTCTCCGTAGGGCCACACAGTATTCTCTGTAAATCCGCACAGTCTTCTCCGTAGGACCTCGAAGACTGTATAGTCCTACGGAGATCACTGTGCGGTCCTACGGAGAATACTGTGCGGTCCTACAGAAAATACTGTAAGAGCCTACGGAGAATATTGATAAGGGGCCTACGGAGAATTACCACAAGCTGTTTACAGAATTTTCCGTAGCTTTTTGCCACAGTGCAGCGAACGGTTCTCCCTTAATGGCGCGCGAGTGAAGCATGCGGGGACATTGGTGCATGCATTCGTTGAGTGGGACTACTCTGGAAATGTCGAGGTGAACCGAGCCAGCGACAGTCGATCACCCTGTCGATGCAGGTGGCGGACTTCCAGCCTACGGGCGGACGGTATTCCTGTAACACAACACTCCACTTTGTGACTGCTAGTGGCTGTGGACAAGCGCATGACAAATGCACGCGCCCCTTCCCCCACCCCCCGAAGATTCTCGTTGTTGACGTCACCGGCGGCGTGTCCTAGTCTGGTTCCCAAATGCACCCGTCTCTCTCGCACCTCTACGGCTCGCGCCGTGAGTGCGAGCGAGACAGCAAGTCGCTATGTCGACGGCCCCGTGAGCCCTGTTCGGCAGTGTGCCGGCCATTGTGGCGGTAAAGAACGCTAATGCCCGCGCCCTACCCCGATGCTCAAACTTCAGCGCGGCTATGCGGCCGAGGCCGGGAGGCCTTTGCTGTGAGCGGCAGGCAGCCCCCCCCCCAATCCCTACCCCTCGCGACGTCACACAGCAGCGCCGCCACCGCCCGAAATGTAACATTCAATTACTCTAATCAAATAGACGCCGCGGCCTGGCCGTGGCCCGGTCGCCGTGAGTCGGCGGTCCCCTCCCCTCCCCTCCCCTCCCCTCCCCTCCGCTCCGCTCCCTCCCCCCCTTTTCGTGCACAGTCGCGCAATCGCTCAATAGGGTGGTAGTTTAGCAGCCGGGCGCCACGGCGGCGAAGGTAAACAGCAAGCGGATCAAAATTAGCGGCCCGAAGCGGACTGACGGCGACCTGCTGACTGATTCCGAGAGACGTATCGCTCTGTCTCTCT